TTTATATAGCATTCCCAAGTCAAATTTAGAATTTCCCAAAACAAATTTAGAACTTTCCAAACCAAACTAGGATTTATCCAAATCAATTTAAGAATTTGTATAGTTCCAAACGGATAGAGTATTTTAGTTTTCTTATTAAATTCCTTAGGCATAGTACCTATTATGAATAATAAGGTTAGGCATTATAGCGTTAAAAGACCAATTTTAGAAATTTTCAAGTTAAAAGTTTAAATTTTCGATATGTAAAAATCAAAATTAGTAATATAAAGTAAGGTTTTCAATGTTATTTCACCAGATTTAATAATAATAATCCAATTATGTACAACATATAAGAAGCATCATAGTATCAAATGACTTGAAAATGGCATTCTAGCCGAAACGTAGCCAATGTAAAATGGAAATAAATGTGGCGAAACAACAAACAAAGCCTTACTTTATATTATTATAAATAATTTCACCTAGAACACAAATATATAAATCGAAATTATTTATAGGCAATAAATCCTTACAATTATTTTTTTATTAGAAACATTAATAAAATTTAAAAGTTTTATGTTTTAAAGTTATAAAATACAATTGTTTAGTGCAGCCACGGCTTCTGTTATCTCTATGACCAAATCCATAAACCAGTTTACGAAATCTCTACTTGTTATTGTAGATACAGCTTCTAAAATAAATTCGATCAAATTATAAGCTCCCGGTTCATTAAGACTACTTATTGTCCTAATTTTTATTTTGGAGAAGACTCTCTCTACCAGATTTAAAGAAGAAAGATCGCTAAAGAAAGATTTAAAGTAAGCAGAAAGATCCCTCACAGACACGCGTTCCTGCAACTTACCTATTACTTCTATAGCTTAATTATTTTTATTACTTTAATTAATATTTCTAACAAAATAATTTACTTTTTTCTTTTTAAGGAATTTAATATTCAAAAATCAAAATTACCCATTTCGATTTTTACATGTAAAAAAGTTTTAACTTATTTAACAATTTCTAAAATTAGTCTTTAAATAGAATTATGACTAACCTTATTATTCAAAATAGGTACAAAGTCTAAGAAATTTAGTAAGAAAACTAAAATACCCTATCCGTTTGATGTTATGAAAATTCTTAAATTGATTTGGAATAATCTTAATTAGAAATGGAAAATTCTAAATTTGGTTTGCAAAAATCCCAATTTGGTTGGGAAAATTCTATATTAGACTTGGAAATGCTAAATGTATATATATATTTATTTACGGAACATTTATTTTTTATTATAATTCATGAATGGCTGGAAGGAAAGGGCTACTTCCTAACAGAATAAAACAATAATTTAATCATTTCATAATTATGTAGAAAAGAATTGTTTTTCAGCCATTTTCTGTAAAAACTCAATTTTACAATTTCAATTTGGTAACTATGTTCTAATTTAGAAGCTTAATAATATTTTTTTTAGATATTATACTTCGCGATGCTGTTTATGTTGTGATAAAATATTTATTTGTATAGAATCGTTTCTTTATTAATTGAAATACTTTGATTACAATTACTACTAGAGGTCAAGAGATGTCGTTTTTAATGAAGTCTCAAGAACGTCTGCTGTTACGGTTACATTACCAACAAATGAAAAAGAAGTGAAAACTTAAAATTCCAATCAACCTGAAAAACAGAAAAAGGATGATAGGGAAGATTTCGAAGCTGATTTTGATACCTCTTCTGGTAGTAATGAAAATATAGATAAGAATAAGTTAATCAAGATGGAACTTAGAAAGAGGGAGAGCCTTCGACCGCCAGAAAGATATAAAGAGTTTATCACAACGGCTTTAACAAAATTTTCGGAAGCACCAGAGAGTTATGAAGATGCTATCAAGTCTGAGGATTTCCAGAATTGGTGCAAAGCTATGGATGTAGAAATGGCTGCTCAACGTGAGAACAACAGATGGATCTCGGTGGATCCTCCAAATAATAGAAAGGTTCAACCTTGCCGATTAGTTTATAAAATTAAACAGGATCCAGATGGAAGTATTGACTAATCATGATTAAGGGTTTTACTCAAAATAAAGTTCTGGACTTTAATGAAACATTTAGTCCAGTTAATAGAATGAGTTCAATTAGGACTATCTTAAGTGTGGCTGCCTGCAGAAAAATGAATTTTCTGGAGATTTCTTGGATGAGTCAAAGACAATCCTGTGTTGCCTTGCCCACAGTTGAAACAGAACTGATGAGCAAAAGAAATCGTTCAGTAAAAACGTTTATTTGATGAATTGTTACCTCAAGAAGATTTCCTATCTGAGATTCCTGCTCTTTACGTGGACAACGAGGCATCTATTAAGCTGGGTAAGAATCCAGAACTCCACCGATGCAACGAGTACATCAGAATTCGCCATTTTTTTTTTTGTTCGCAAAATTGTGGAAACTGGAATATTGGATATCAAGCCGATTGAAACTCAAGAGCAATCAGCTGACTTCCTTACCAAGCCACTCCATGGATCCTGATTAAATACTCTGTTACAAAAGATTGGACTTAATGATTCAAAATCACTTCAATGACGGAGAGTGTTGTGATAAAATATTTATTTTTATAGAATTGTTTTTTTGTTCATTGAAAGATTTTGATTTATCTAAATATATATATATATATATATATATATATTTTTTTTTTTTTGTACAAAGTAGAGAGGTTATTCTCTGTTTTTTCCTAATTAACTTCAACAGTTTATAACCGTAATACCTAATTTTAAAGCTAGTAAATGGAAATATTAATTAATTATTAAAATAATAATTGTTAATTATTAAAATGTAGTTCCTAATTTAAAAGCTTAATCATAATGTTTATGATATATTATACTTAAGAGATGCTGTTTGTACATGTACCTAGTCCTGTCATAAATATTGAAACAAGGAAATATGATTTTTTTTCGAAAACTTTATTATAAAATAAAATGTATAGCTATAGAAAGTAAAACAAAAAAGAATTTACTCAAAATGTCTCCCTTTTGCCTTGGCACAGGCATTTAATATTTAAAAAATTATTAACTAGTCTTTAAATGCAATAATGACTAACGTTATTATTCAATATAGATACAAAGTCTAAGGAATTTAATAAGAAAACTAAAATACCATATCTACTTGGAGTTATACAAATTATTAAATTGGTTTGGAAAAATCTTAATTTGAAATGGAAAATTCTTAATTTGGTTGGCAAAAATCCTAGTTTGGTTTGGTAAGTTCTAAATTTGATTTTGAGCAATCCCAATTTGTTCTGGAAAATTCTAAATTAGACTTGGAAATGCTATACAAAAAAAAAAAATATGATGTGGTTCGCAACACACAACTTACACAGAACAACCTAGTTATTAAATAATTATATGTCTGCTCAGATAGGATTATTTATTATTTAATTATTGGGGCTAAAGTTATTAACGTTACCATATGCTTTTCCGATGCGTCAATACTGCTTAAAATACGAGGGCAAGCCAGACTAATTAAATGGAAATTTTGTTTCTCCCTCGGAATGATGTTTATGGCAGAGCAATGATTGTCCTGCTATAACTCATAACTTCTATCGACTGTTCATTGAAAGTATTGTTTCATTGCTACCTACATGTGTTTAAAAGTCTGTTCAAAATGAGTTTTTCTTTGTCTGATTGCGAGGAAGTAGAAATGTGAGCAGTGATACGTTTCCTGAATTCAGAAGGTATAAAACAGGCAGAATACATCAACAATATGGAGAGGATTGTTTAAGCAAAAACAAGATCTATGGGTAGATTAATCACTTTAAAAACGGTAGTATTTCTCTGTGTAATGAATAGCGGCCCAACAAACAAACAATTTTGTTAGACTTGGTTATTTTGACTTGAGGGACTTCAAAACATGTATTTCTGTTAAAAATTTTCATGTTCACAATACTTTTTTAAACAATGAGCTAGAAATTTTCTAAGAAGTGAATGTTTTTTAGCTTTAAATGATTGTTTTTATTTTGTAAAACACTGAACCAACAAATTTTTGAAGAAATCAATTGAGTATGACGATAAGAAATTATTTATACTAAGAGTTAACAGTATAAGAGGTAAATAAAAAATATATATAATTATTTAACTAATAGCAATATATATTTCTTAATTTATTAAAATGTAACCTTACAATGGAACGGATTATTTTTTGACATTCTACAATCTCCGAAAAAGAAAATTCCTTTCTTGAAACTTTGGACAGTGAATCTGAACAAGCACAACCTAATGTTCCATTGAAAATTATAAAACTAATGTATGATAGCTATTTTTTCAATCTAATAAACAAATTTCGGGCTCTGCAGTGAGGCTTCAAAATAAAATTTTTGAACGGTTACTAAACTTCTTCAACATGAAGCGATTAAAGAAATAATAACATATTAAATTAACTGATTAATATATTCGCCTAAATTCTTCTCAATAAAGAATATACCATTTATTTGACACAATATTTTCTTTATTTTATATTTATTTTTTCAACATGTTTGTATCTTTTGTAGCCCTGAAGACGACCTGCAAAGTGGGTCGAAACGTCGGCAAAAATTAAAATTATTTATATATTTTAATTTTTTTTATTTTTTTTGACCGCACCCTCGACTAATTCCTTCTCATATCATATCAACGGTCAACCAACTCTACATCAATATTTTCTTTCATTATATTCTTAAAAGTGAGGGAAATAGGAAGCAGAAATATGTAGAAAAAAGATAAGAAATAAGACATTATTTACAGAAAAGGAAAAAAAAAAAAAGAAAAAGAAAATTAAACAAAGCGGAATTGAGAAAACATTAATATTTAAAAAGGCATAACAAAAGTAAAAATACTAATATTCATAATGTTATCTATAACATATATTAACATGCCATTTTGCTTTTGACTATTAATAACAAAATTAATAAAAAATGTTATTATAAAAATTACTATCGTATAAATATAAAACTGTTAAGTTATGAACTTAAAAAAAAAAAAAAATACTAAAAAGCTAAACAAAAAGAGAAAATTAAATACCTTGAGGTGAGAGAAAATCTGGAATCGCTCCTTGATTTCCTGTGGTTACTGGCACTTGGTACTGACCTAAAGAAAACATAAAAAATATAAATAAAAAAAACATATGCCAGAGAAAGTTCAGTATAGCTTCCTCACAGTTTTCATTGGCTAAAATATATCTATATTACAAGGTATACAATTAATTGTATGAGAATAAAATCTCTGGGAGAAGCGGATTCGGAAATACAGTTACTCTTCAACATTCACGGGTTCGATATCCACGAATTCCGTTTATCAGCTAATATTAAAATGCGAAGGAGTGCCGTATTTGAAGATTCCATATTTGATTATTCTTAATTTAAAAAAATTAAAAAATACCAATGCATACTGAACAAGTATTTCACTACTGTTAGTGCAAAAGTTCATATGTAAAAATTAATTGTTTTATAAGAAAGCATAGAACTCATTATTTCTTTATGCTTTATTAGTATAATTTCATATTTTATTGTCATCTGCTATTTTTCATAGTATCAGACTACTTATATCAGTTGCAGTCTACAAAATGTCATCTTTAACTTAGATAAAATAAAAGTTGAAAATTTTCACATACGACCTTTTGCACTAATAATAGTGATATATACTTAATAGGTATGTTTTCACCCGTAAAATGGATGGAATTTTTTTGTTTATCCATAGGAAAAATTCAACTTGTTGTTTTTTTGGAGTTAATGAGACCAATACTTTTCTTTAGTCAGAACAAAATGCATTAAGCTAGAGAATATAAAAATATGGATGAAGTTCACAAAACTTCGATATTTAAGGAGGAAACCGAGACCAAGACGAACTGGTTGAACATCAATGGAAATAAACACAATCACAAATAAGATTTTTTTTTTTTTTAAATCAGAGTAAAATTACTTTAAATGTACTGAAAATTAAACGAAATCTAAGTGACGGCAGTAAGAATCATGCCACTAACATTTGGAATCGACTAAACAATACAGTATCATTTAATTATTTTAATAAAACCTAAAATTTTATAAACCCATAACGATATTGTAATAACCTAACTCCCACTCCATATGATCAGTGCCTTCAACATTTCACAGCCATTATATTGTTAATAATTATTTGTAATAATTTTAATTATTAAATGAAATTCAATAATTCCATGAAATTGATACTAAGTTATTTCTATACTATTCTCCAAATTTCCTCCAAGTTTGGGTCAAATCGAATGCGCCGTTTTCAAACTATAGGCATATGAAATAACACATTTCCTGATCTGAAAATGGAAGTATTTTATATATAAATATTTTATGTATATCAATAAATAATTATTAACAATAACTAGTAGATAGAATTTGATAAAATTGATATGGGACCATCTAGACACCAACCCGCAAAAATTTCATGAAAATCGGATAAACGGTAGTGGGTGATATGCCCGTCACATCGATTTGAATACAGACAGACAGACACTGAACCAAATTTGATCCTTGATGTCTGAAAACGTAAAACCCGAGTGAAAATTTCGATTCTGAGCACAAAATTTTTTTTAAAACCTCTTGCATGAATACAATGCTTCCCTACCTTCGGTAGTGCAGAAGCAAAATAAAATAATAAATGACATAGCCTAAAATAATAGATAAGTATGTACAATACAAACAGTAAACCAATGTTTATTTTATTTATTGATTGTTCCTATAATCTCAGTAAACATTTTTGTTCAATTTACTCTGTCGGTTTATTATAAAAAGTTTTTTTTTCCTATGCCTTAATAACGCCTACTTCATTAACAATGCATCTTGCTGCCGAATTTCCTGCTAGTAAAAGGGTTGTTGTCTAAGTAAAAGCATATCTTATGTTCTGCAATGCATGTCAAGATGTTCTCCAATCATACTTTTGAAGAACACAGAGGACAGGTCGGGCTATCTTTTAACCAACATGGTGGAGGTGCTTCTGCAGGAAATCATGCCCTGTAAGCATTCTAAACCATGCCACGGATTGCCCTCTTGGAAGGTTTCTTGGGATGCTGCCACTTTTTTCTAGCAACCCACTCCTTCTAAACAAATAAAGCACAAATCCGCTCTACCTTTTCCATAAGCCATTGGGTGCCTTGCAATTAATTTTAAAAATGTTAAAATAACATAAATCCAAAAGGATAAATATCCCCACATATATTATTACAGTAAGGCTCGAAATCGGTTTTGTACCAAACATAAGCTCCTATCATGCTCAAATACCATGAATGGGGTACTGTTGGATTCAGAATTTCACGGGGGGGGTTAGCGAATCATATTATCCACTTTTGTTTTTCTTTCTAAAATAAATAAAGTCAATACAAACATTTTGCCAGGCTTCAAGATTGGAACGGTGGTAGGTCCGTAGATCGATGCGGGACAAATTGGACCTTGAAGATTTTGATGCCTACAGCAAGACCCGGATAGTTCCTCCGGAACTATCGGATCCTGCATTTTTAAGCCCAAAAACGTACTATTTTTGAGATAACGCAAGGCATGGGGTTCGCATTCACACAACCTGACATTAAATATAGTACTGTCATTAGATACATGTCTCATTTCGTCGACTTGATGATGTCTCTATGATCGAGACAGGAGGAGTTTATATTATTTATTGATGGAGTTTTTGATCGGCAAGCGATATCATCGTTAATTCTTCACCAAATCTCAAGATTGAGCCACCAACTTCGAAGGTTTCCTTCAACTTTAGGCGGGCAAAATAGTCCAATCACCCCAAAAATTCAGGCAAACAAGTTATGAAAGAAAACAAACTTTATTTGAGAAAACTAAAAAATTCCACACTTTTCCCTAGGTTATGCCCATAATTATATAAAAGATTACTAAATTCCCTACAAAAGGAAAAAAAAAATCATCAAAATCGGACTATTTTTAGCAAAGATACAGATTACTGAAATTTGTTAACATGTTAGTTCCAAACAAAAATGAAGATTTAAATTAATTTTTGTTTTCTTTGTCGATTATATTTATCGATAAAGTAACATTTTATTTCTTTATCTTTTGATACCTTGCATTATTTTATTTTCTTAATGATTTGGCATTTGATAACAATATGCTGTGCGAATTTTTCACACGGGCCTACTAGTGTATAAATAAATGGTGAATAGCAGTAATTTGTAGTTATATATTGAAAAATAAATGAGTTGATTAAATAACGTATGTTACAAGAAATAAAAGAAATCAAACCCCTTCATACAAATGAAAATTATTAAATAAACAAAGAATCATTAAACATAAAAAAAATCTTTTAAATTAAATTTATAATGCACTATACACGAAGTTATGGAACTGTTAATGTTCTACAGATATTATTATAATTTAATAAAAATTAAATTAATATGATTGCTAAATTAACTATAATTTAAATAATAATACAGCAAGAATTTAAATGTAAGTATATAAGTGACCCTCAGTGCTCAAACCATGCTCTGGAGATGACCCACATGTTTGGGTTGAAACGTTGGCATAAATAAATATTTAAAAAGAGTGAGTCCTGAATATTTATCACCCATGATATGTGGAACAGTCGACTAACTTCCTTTAAGTATGTAAATAATCTATTAAAAGTTAAATGTTAATAATTAGTTTTGGCGGGAATAGCTAATAGCCTTCCGCTATATATCAGGGATTTAGGTTATTTACACTCGTGAATTATTAAAACAAAACCTCCCCACTGGATATAGACTTTTGAGAGTGTTTAACTGTCGTTGGGAAATTCGGGAACCTAATACCTTTTGTGACACTGCGTAACAAGAAACAATAAGAACATATGAATTGACTCACCTGGTTTGTTATTCTTCAATTCTGAGGCCTATAGGACAACTAAATAAAAGGACTATTCACTCCTGTCTAACAAAGCAATTTATTTTAACAACTGATATAAGTGAATATATTAAAGTCTAATAACTGTAGGCTTGATATTCTTAGTCTTCAATGTAGTAAGACTCTCTTCCCAGATGACGTCTTCTTGTGTCCAGGCCTAAAGTCAAAGGCGTCCTCTTCGCCAGCTGTTCCCAGCTACCTGCTCTGACCTTCTTCCAGCGTCCCTCCTCATCGATTGTTTGTCGATATGAGACCTTTCCATGAATAATTTGTTCACTGCATAATTGAGTACAATTCACAGTGCAACCTCACATTCCTATATATTATATATTCCTTCTCATTCCCTCACACAATGTCGTCTAAAGGAGTAAATACCGGGGGATGTCTACTACAAGTAAGTATATAAATTCAAAATTTTATTTTTATATAAAGAGAAAGAAAAAAGCAAATAAAGTCTTTCACCATATCAATTTTGCACACTAGACACTTCTCTATCGAAGTACTTGGTATATCTACTCATGAACCATTATAATGTCTTTACTTTCACCTGCGAAATCGAAGACCTAGGGGGTCAGAAATATCTTCTAAAACAGATAGTTCATTATCCGATCCTCATCCCTATGGAACTCCATCCCTTTCCTATATCCGTCGATCCAAAACCCTTCCTACCTTTAAATCCCGCCTGTGCAATCATTTCTTATCGATCCAGTCCCCGTAAAATTATAAATAGATACCACTGTAAATATGTATATAAATTATTAGATCGTCCTTCATAATTTTCAATTTTTTATTATTAACTGATTTAAATTAGAAAGCAACTTATAATTTATTTATTATGAGGATTTAATTACTCAGCATTTTTGTTTAGGTATCTCTGAGACTCCTAAGCCTACATTTCTGTCCTTCTGTATTATTCTAAAGGGACTCGACCCAGCATAAACAAAGTATTATAATTATTATTATATCCATTTTGGAGGGAAATATCGTTGATATGAGTACATTTTTGATGTATTGGGTGGATCCATAAGTTCGTTCGGTTTTAGCTAGTTGTGCGAATTGTTTTCATATATCTCTAGTTCTTTGTTTTATCTGACAATAATGATACTTATTGGAAAGGTCAAAGTCCACTCTTCGAAACTGTTGTTTGGTTTTATATATATTAGTTTTGATAGTGCTATAGCATAGTGATTATGTCCAATGATGAAGTGCATTTTCAACATTTTTTTTTTATTTTATTTAAAAAAAGGCAATGGACATTCGGACATTCGCCCAATGTTCATATATATCTTCCTCTTACTTACTTACTTACTATGTAGCTCTACAGCCCAGGGTGGGCCTTGGCTTCCTGAATTATAGCATCCCCAGGTGGCCTATATCTCCACTTATATCTTTCTATATCTCCACACACCCTCTTCACAAACAGCTCCATAAATTTTTCTCAATATTTTTCTTTCAAAAATATTCACCATACTAATTGTGCTAGTACAAAGGGTCCATGTCTCCGCTGCATAAGTCACAATAGGTCTTACTAAAGTCTTATATAGTCTTATCTTTGTTTCTCGTGACAGGAGTGATGATCGAAAAAATTTTAGGTTGGCATAGTATGCCCGGTTTCCAGCCATGATCCTCTTGTACACCTCAGCAGCTATTTTATTTTCAGAATTCATATTCCACCCCCAGATAAGTGAATTTTTTACACATTCGAAGGTGAGACCACATATTTCAATGCTTTGTGGCCAGCCTCATTGTCGGCTCCGACATACATGTATTTTGTCTTATCTTGATTGATTTCCAGCCCAACATTTTCACCTACGGCTTTCAATATTGCAAAGATTTCTTTTATTAATCTTAAATTCCTGGTAATTAGGCATATATCGTCTGAGTAAGCACATATTTGCACCATTGCGTTAAGTATGCAACCAGGTGAATCCAGTTTTTTCAACACATTATTAAGTGCAATATTAAATAATGTGGCAGACAAAGCATCCCCTTGCCTAACCCCATCCGTCATTGGAAAGCTATTGCTTATATTGCCTTTAATAACTACTTTTGCATTGCTATTATTCATAGTCATTTGCAATAACCTTATTAATTTTTTTGGAATTTGGGACTCATGTAAGGCATTTATTAATTTGCTTCTTATCACTCTATCGAAAGCTTGCCGGTAATCTATGAACAGCATATGTAGGTCAATCTTATATTCCCAGGCTTTTTGCATTATCTGTCTCATCACAAAGACCTGATCAGTTGTTCCTCTCCCCTTCCGAAATCCACACTGGTTTTCCTCCAGTATGTTCTCGGCAAATACGTTGAGCCTCACAGAGAGGATGTTGGAAAAAATTTTATAGGCTACAACCAATAGAGAAATGCCCCTGTAATTCTCACATTGGAGTTTATCTCCTTTTTTATATATCGGGCATATTAGACTGGTGCACCACTCCTGAGGCATGGTTTTACCACTCGAAACTTCCTCCAACAGTAAATACATTTGGCTTATCAATTGTTCTCCTCCCTACTTAAAGAATTCCGCGACCAGCATATCCTCCCCATGGTGCTTGGTTATTTTTTAATTTTTCAATCGCCTCAGCCACCTCTTCTATAGACAATGGCTCCAGGTCATCAACACACCCCTCCTTATCACTACCAACCATACATTCACCACCACCAGAGTTGAGCAATTCTGTGTAGTGCTCTTCCCATCTACCTAGAACTCGGGAGCTCTCCACTACCACGCCATTTTTCCTCTTTCTCTAAAGTACCTTTAATATGGTTTATTTTAAAAAGTTAATCATTTTGCAACATTCAGAGTTGGGAAAAAATGCTACATATAACTTTTGAAAGAATTTGATAAGTTAATAGAGGAGAAAAAAAAAAAATGCAGAAAAACCTGCGTTGCTATAGACTGTAGCGCCTAAACGAATGTAATTGTTTAAGCGAATTTTTGTTGAAATTCGAACGAAAATTCGCTTAAATCATTTTCTCGACACCCTTTAAATTTATCTATATAACATACTTCATCGAAAAGAAGCTGGAAAAACAGTTACGAGGAATGGTAAAATTAAATTCCGAATAACTCAAAAAGTATACGCTTTTTTGTTGATATTGTTTATGTTTTTTTTTAAATTTTATGGAATTTCCTAAAAAAAAAAAAAAAAATTGTTAAAATCGGATAATTAGGAGGAACGATATGGCCTCTAGTTTTTTTCCCTGAAGAGGCGAAAATTAAGATAAATTTAAAATATACTTTTTTAATTGTTGAGACTAAAAAAACCTTTTTTCTACAGATATTTAATAAAGTATCTTTCCTAAGAACATCTTTCATAAGAAATAAGTACCTAAATTTATACCTTTATTCTCAGTTCTATATTTCAACACTGCAATCACCACCTCCGGAATCAACTTACTCACTGTCTGCATAGATAACTTTTTCAACTAAAAATATCACTAAAATGACATTACTCAAAAATGTTGAAATTGGAGTTAGTCATTCTGTGGTTTATAAAAGCAACGAAAGTTGTGTGGTTTATAAAAGCAGATAGAGTGACTAGATTTTTATTGCCTACCGTCGATATATTAAATAGACATTTTGTAATTACAATGGTCTTAATGACTTGTTATCTGTAAGCTTTAAGCTTTAGCTCCGTTTAAAATGCACTTCAAAAAATTTTATAATAGCCCAGCATTGCCAGAAAATAATTTCTATTCAAAGTAGAGCGGTAAGTGAAAGTTGCGTGTTGCACGGACCAGATTTTTTAGTTTTAGAATTAGAAGTTTTAAATTTTCTTTTTTTATTTCTAAAATTAAATAGATTGGATAGGATGATCAATAAAAAAAAAAAAAAAAAATGTAAAACAAATATGTATAAATAAAAATAAAAATGTATAAATAAAATAAATATTTTTATTATTATTTTTCACTTTCCGCTCTACTTTGAATAAAAATTATTTTCTGGCAATGCTGGGCTGGGCTATTATAAAATTGTGTGAAGTGCATTTTAAATGGAGCTAAAGCTTAAAGCTTACAGATATCAAGTCATTAAGACCATTGTAATTACAAAATGTCTATTTAATATATCAACGGTAGGCAATAAAAATCTAGTCACTCTATCTACTTTTATAAACCACACAACTTTCGTTGGTTTTATAATCCACAGAATGACTAACTCCAATTTCAACATTTAAAAAAAAATTGAGAGTCCATGTGGAATGAAATTCCTCTGACTAATAAACTTAGAAATATAAAAAAAAAGTGGCAAGGATGAGAATTTGTCATACTAACCTGACTCATGACAATTTAATTACCAATGAGGGCCAACCATATTATGATACCTCCCAGTCTCCATAAAGCGAATAAAGAAGATTGTATATTACTACGTCAAGCCTTTGTAAAAAACAAAATAACCCGTTGTAGAGAACTAGCATTATAAGACAGAGTAGATTCAATATACAATATTATAAAGCTTTTAAAACAAATACAATTGTAGCATAAAATACATAATTCATGGAGTACATGAAAAGAAACAATTTTTTTTTTTTGTGGCGAAATACACCATGAGCCATGAAGGCCCATTGTATGCATATATATATATTAATTACCTTAATTAACATTGTAACAACTTCCAAATATAATTGTAAATTTATACATTCAGAAAGATAAATTAAAAATAATATCATAGCTCAAGGGCATAATAACCAAGTTGTTGATCGCCTAAAATAACTCATAACCTAACTACTGTTCTAATTAGAATTTTATATAGCTTTAATTTTGTAGCTTTAGACAACAACGGAAACTTGGAAAGTTTAAAGTTTGCACAGTAGGCTCTGTTACCAGTCATCATTCTGTAGTTGATTTCTTTGCTGATTAAATATCCATTATTTAAGGCAAAACCGAGATACACTAATGTGGGTACATTTTCAAACCTAAAATTCCTTATTTTGATGTCGCTGCAGGATGTTCTATCAGCTGCGAAGGACAGTTTTAGGAATTTAGTTTCGCTTTCATTGACCAGAAGTCCTACTTTGTTGCCATTTTCTTATATTATTTCAAATGCCTCTTCAAGTGCCTTTTCACTTCTGGAAGCAATCACTAGGCCATCAGCGAAGGCACAAGCTTGCCATGTCTTATCAACGATAAGTGTCAATGATACTTTTTGAAATGTTGATTTATTAGTTATTATATTAATGAAATTTTGAATCAACAGTATTTATATAACTTATATTCAAAATATAAAGGTTTTACTGCATAAAAATCTGAGCTCTAGATATAACCTTACCCGGTATTATGGTTGCCTGAGGTTGCTGCTGCTGCCTGGCAGCCATCGCCTGGTGCAGAAGGGTGTCAGGCCTCTGAAGACTGTTTATCCTCTGCTCCTTGTCTTCGCTGTCCCTCATGTCGACTGATGAGCTGCAATAGACTCCCGCGGCACCCTCTCCCATGGTCCCATTCCCTTCTACTTCAGATTCCTCCCCAATTGAACCCTCTTCGTCTTCCTGATAAAAATAAAAAAAAAATAATTTTTCAGGAAAAGTAAATAATAGAAACTAGTACATTGAAAATAAAAATAGAGTCTCTCCTCTGAATTACAATCATTATCCTTCTTACAGTATTACATTTTTATTTTCTCTTACCTATATATGAAATATATTGTAATGTCAACATTACATAGGTATTTAAATATTAGCATGAACTACTGAGAGGAAGTGCTGATGGTGGGGGAAGTAAGCTCATAACGGCAGAACGTGACCAGCCAGCAGTCGAAAGGATGAAAAAGGAGTACTAGCCGGTTCGAGTGTTGATAGAGGCCACTAGTGGAGATTATAATGAATATGGAAGAAAGAACATAGAAGAAATTAATTAAGTGGTACCGAAAACGGAACATTCATAAATAAGAATAGTTTATTTCACTGACAGGTAAAACATTCGGGTGAGTGCCAAGAATGCCATTTATGTTGACAGAGGGATAGAGCCACAAAGTTTAGACCGGGACAATCAATGTTTTTGAAAACAATTATAAATTTTATATATATAATTAGTGTAGTTAGTAATTAGTAAATTAGTGTAGATTATAATGATTTAATGTTGAATGAGTGTTCAGTTGTCAGAATCCAACCTGAAAATTTATATCTATGTGTGAGAAATAAATTGTATATTGAAAAAGAAACTCGTTCTTTGATTTTGGAGGGAAAGAGAACATTACAATATAGTAATGGAAAGTATTGCGATCGTGAAAATTTTCTTATCTAAGTTTTCAACGGAAATACACGTTTTGAGGTCCCCTGAGTCCAAATAACCAAGTCCCGCAAAATGGTCTGTGTGTGTGTGTGTGTGTGTGTGTGTGTGTGTGTTAACAATCTAGCTCAAAAACGAAAAGTCGTACGAAAGTGAAATTGCATATTTAAGGTTTTTATATGCTGGGAATGTTACAGCAACTTTTTCGTCAAAATCAACTGACCGAATGTGTTCTTTTCATTTTTACAATTTTCTTGAAAACGACTTTAACGATTTTGATTAAATTCATTATGTCAGAGTAAAATTAAGCAATTTAAAATAAAATGTAGTTTTTATTCTGATTAATGTTTCCTAACAGGGCTTAAATGGCTAATTTTCCAGCTTCAGCTAAAGTACCTTTAATTGTTTTTATTTGACACAATTGACCATTTAACATTAATCTCTAATATTAACCTGTACCACTACAACCCATGAAGGGTCTGAGGTTCAGTACTATTTAGGGAAAGCACTGTTTCTAGGTCAACGGTTGTGCAAGGAGGTGATTTGACAGAGATCACGCTCAACCGCCATTTCTCTAATATAAAAGATAGTTAGATATAAAATATGAAAGAATCAACTAAAAGAGAAAGTAACGGAGAATAGTTGTAATTGAGGAACCAAAGGAATACGAGCACACCCAAGCTCGCCCGAGAGATTAGAACACGCTTCCATATATAACATGAGCTTAATATAACACGGACTCCGACAATATTATATTAATATACATATGCAGTTTTCATAAATGCTATTGTTGGTATTATTTAATATTTAATTGTATAGATTACAGCAATATAAATATTAAAATTTGTATAAATAAAGGTTCGAATCCGGCTAATGACTAGTAATTTTTCATTAGCCATGGATCTACCCTGGGATCGGGAGACCCTCTTGGGGCACATCCAGCCTCTATACATATAAAAATACCCATAATGAAATATAAATAAATATAGCGTTTATAATGTTTACTTTCACTTCTTTGTCTGAAAATACTTATTTCTCCTAAGAGGTTGGTAAGTGAAAGTTGGGTGATGCGCGCACCGCACCAGATTTTTTTTTCTGTTTTATACTATATTATAAATATTACAACAATCTCAAGACTAACTTACAAATCATACCTCTGCCGCAAAGCAAACAGTTATAATAATCCCAATTATTAAAATTACCATAAAATCTAAAATTATCAACAGAACATATAAACCATAGGTGAGAGAACTTTTTACCATTAGAGGCCGCAGTAAGATTAGGCAGTGCTAACGGAGGCCAAAATAATTCTTTATATTTTACTGTTGCTATTTTTTATTTTTTACTAAATACACACAACCATATACATATATCGAACTTAATTCTATTATTTTTTATCACTTGAACAATTAAATATTAATTAATTCTAGCACTAGATTAATAAATATCGTGAAAACATGTTAGGAAATCGAAACTACCTCACGGAGGCCATATGTGGCCTACAGGCTGCAGATTCCTCACCTATGATACAAACAAAGCAATAATAAAATAAGTTAAATTAAAAGAATTTTTTTTTACGCTAAGATTACATAGTGACATCCAATATAGATATTAGCTATAATATTCAGGGGATAAGATTATCTCACCTATTCCCTATAATTAAAAATAAAATTATCTCATATCTTCTAGTCCGTGGTACGGACCCCCTTTTTTTATCAAATTATTAATATCCACCTAAAACTTTGTAAATATCTCATATCTCATCGTTAACTAAAAATATTTTATTTACAAAAATTTCTGGAATTGAGGAGTTTTCAATCTGGAGATCAGCAAACTTTGTTTATTTAATAAGGTACTAAAAACTCATAAACACCCATTTATCTTGAATCGAAAGATAACTTGAGCACAAAATCAAGAAAAAAAAAAGATACCCTTCAAAAATATTGAGCCATTTGGCATGACCTACATCCCCAAATTGTCAGGTAAACGAGGTTACATAAGCCAATCATCCCAATATTTTTGTAGGGCACCTTTTATATCGATTCGGTGATCAAATTATCTTACAATCCAAGTGAAAAGCAAATGGGTATTTAAAAATTTTAGTACCTAATTAAATAAACAAAGTTTGCCAACCTCCTGATTGAAAACACCCCAATTCCGAAAATTATCGTAAATAAAATATTTGTAGGTTACGATGAGATGAAGCTATTTACTAAGTTTCAGCCAGATGTTAATAATTTGATAAAAAGGGATCTGTACCACCGACTATTCTACATTGGTTCATTTAAATATTTCTATCCCATTTAGATTTCCCATGCATTGGAGAAGTCTTACCCTCAAACCAGTATATATGAGGAATTTAAATAATACAGGTCTAAGTGTTTCTTTTTTCCTAGCACTATATATTTTGCAATCAAGGATTGGAATGATTTTAACAATTTTATTATCCATTGAAATCTTAATCATACTTTCCCAAAAGCTGAAACTGCATTAATAATCTAGTACATTTAAAGTTAGCTGGCATCAACAAATATCGGATGTCGTTTACATTTATTTAATATCCTGCAGGTACTAGCTCTAATTATAGCTGGTTCGGGTTCATAAACTAGATCACCTTCCCCAATAGTATCTAATAATACTTTTGGTTGAGAACACCAGTTATATTTCAATAAAGCAGGATTAGATCGGAAACAATTGCTTCATAGCTTTTTTTAAATATATTTTTTGTATACGATTCTTCTCTTATAACAGATAAAGATTGTATTTAATTGAACTTGGAAACTTTAATGAATAAGGTATAAAATAATGATACAAATTTATGTAGTTATTAACTAAAGCTTCGGCGCAAGTCCTGTCCACTTCTAATCCATACCTCATCCTCTCTCAGACACAGTCCGGTATCTTGGCCTTCTTCTAGATAAAATACTAACGTGGAACCCACATACCAGACTTAAAAGACAACAACTAAACAGACGATTCGGGCAGCTATATAGATTAATGAATAGAAAATCTCAACTTTCAGTCGACAACTAACTACTAATCTACAAGACAATCCTGAAACCTATCTGGACATACGGACTAGAGCTGTGGGGCTCAACAAAATCTTCTAACATTAAGCGCATTCAATCCTTTCAGCCTAAAGTCCTCCGAACAATAGTCGATGCTCCCTTTTATGTATCCAACAAAACCCTCCATAATGACCTTCATATCCCATTTGTTTTTGACCTAATCCCAGACAAATTTTCCAAATTTCCCCAGAACCTCACTCATCATCCAAATCCTGTAGCACAATCCCTATCTAGCTCCAGCCATCCCTACAATCCTCCCCGGAGGTTAAAACGGCAGTGGCCCTGCGACCTTTTGTAAAAATGTATATATTGGAGTTCTGGCAATGGCCAGATTCTCCACTCATGTCCTGAGCGTCTGTTGCTCTAGTGCCCTCCATCAGCCTCCACTGGCTTGCAATACCAGTGACGCGGCTGGGAGAGAAGCACTGGGATCTCCTGGGATCCTGCCTTGGCTTCCACATTTGGGGGACAAAACATGACACAGAATCCTCTGGGCGAATGTAAATATTGTATATAGGTATGAATGTGTTTTATATATTTTAATTTCATTTAGCTTTTCTCTATTTTTTTCTTTCCTCTTGATTTTTTTTTTACCTATGTTATCATTTGTATGTATATATTGTGTGAATGTTTAATGTAGCCCTAATATTAATGCCCTCCAAAGTGGCAGAATGTATTATTTTTCAAATAAAAAAATTAAGTAAAGGATAATAAAATTATGATAACAACATAGGAAGTTATAAAATAAACTTAGTCACTGTTACTTTTTAAGTTTCTAATTATGTTACTGTTATTTTATAACTTCCTTAATTTCAAAAAAATATCTGAATCAGTACCTTGTAAGTACTGTCTCAAGGCGAATGGTTGTACAGAGAGGTGATAGGGTTGGGATCATGCTCAACCACCGGGTATTCCCTCTTAATTAATAATTTAATTAAGAATAGCCACATTATAGAGGCTGGGTATGCTACAGAAGAGTCTCCCGACACCAGGGAGGTCCATGGCTGATGAAAAATTACCTGCCATCAGCCATTGATCGAACCAAGGACCTTGAGCTTAGGAAGTCAGTTCCATACCTGCTGAGCTACCCTGCTCCAATATATCATATATTAATTTATGTTGAGTTTAACTTCTAATGACTGCAATCCCCAACCAATCTCACTTAAATCTACAGTTAATTATTTCTTCAACATTAAAAAATGGATTAAAACTTTGATTTACCCATTTACTAAATATATTGTAAAGGAAAGTACTGCAATCATGAAAAATTGCAAAATGGTCTATTATTGCGTGAACTGTATAGCACTAAAACGAAAGGTTGAACGAAACTGAAAATATATTAAATTAGGTATATGGCCGAAATGTTACAGTAACTTGTTGGCCAAAATCGATTAACTGGATGTGGCACTTTACATCATCACATTTAAAGATCTATACAATTAATAAACAGATTTTCTCAAAAACACCTTTTAAAATTTCGATTAAACTTGTTACATCAAGGTAAAATTGAGTGCTCTTTAATATTAGGCAGGTATTATCCTCGTTCAAATGATCTTTAAAATGTCTTACTAAAATGAAATTATGAGATTTTCAATGCCTGCCATGGATAGGTCAAAAGTTGTCACACAAATTGTAAGTGGATAATGTTGGGATTTCACTAAGGGAAAATTCATCAAATTATTCACTAATTTAATTTTCTTAAAGGGTAATTGATGATTTTTTGGAATAAACAGCTAATAGATACCTTATTATTTAAATATAATATCATATTTAGAGTTATTAAACTGCAGTAAATGTATTCAAGGTTATAAATATATCCATGAAATATTATATATTTCACATAAGTACAATGAAATACTATTTTAAACAATGGCATTGACTTCATTCGGGGGATTTTAAATACTTTTTTTGTCAAACAGAAAAAAATAAAAAAAGTTTACAATTAGTAAGAAAATTTCATTTAATTTCCTGGGAAACATGATTTTTATGTTAAATGATGTTAGTTTTCTGAAATTATTATTTATATTTTTTTCGTCACTCTCTGTTACCTTCTACAAGTTTATTTATTAGATATTATTTTTTTCTAAAATTCTCTGCTTTCCAACGATATATTATACACACAGACCATTTTGCAGGACTTGGTTATTTGGACTCTGGAAACCTCAAAACATGTATTTACATATTGAAAATTCAAATTCAAAAATGTTCGCGATCATAATACTTTTCCTTACTATATATTACATAAATAGGTAAGTGAAAATAAAAAATTTGATCATTAAATAATGGACAAAATAAGTTTTGGAATCCCCTGGTCTCAAGAATACTTCAAACTAAAAAAAAAATAATTCTAATAGTTGATGGAATCTTAAATTATTTTTACCTGTTTCATATCTTCTATTGTATCTTCTCCAAAATCGTTCCTGCTCGAGTCGTCGTCGGCTTCTGTTTGGTTACTATTATTGTCTTCTCCATCCTCATGCTTGACTATTCTAACCGGTGCACCTTTCCTCCTCTTAACGGGGCTTTGTTGACTAGCCGCTAGCGCATGTTTGGCATGTTCATCGTTAAAAGTAGAGGCTGCTCCAGCCAAACCTTTGATTTGCAATAGCTCAGCTGTTTGTAAAAAAGAATTCAAATTTTTTTCGGAAACGTACACAACTCCCTGGTAGACGAAACTTAGGAGTGCTTCAACATCGTCTGGAGAGACATCCTTTAATATTACCACAGGGTGCTCGCAAGGATTTTCCTAGGGAAGAGAAAAAAATTAACCATTTATATCTAATATTCATGAATCACTAAACATCAATGGAGTTTTAGGAATTTATTCTAATGATTGAAAAAAAAAAAAAAATGCAAATTCTCAATCAATAGAAGAGAGCAGACAAATAAACCATAAATATCAAATTACTTTTTATGGGGTGTGGTTAAAATTTGTCTTTAAGTAGTAGAACGGAGTATCGACAATATATTCAAATTTATGTTATTGGTGGTCCAACGTTCCATTGTTTAATTACAACAAAATCAAGACACCAAAAATAAGAATAACGGAAAGGAGCTAAAATATTATTTCTTAGTTGATCACAAAGGTCCATTATTGAAAATAATAAACAAAAATGTTTACAATGTGCAATATGGTCCATATCTTCGTTAATAATGATGTTTATTTCAGTATTATATGGAATAATACAATTAATTAATTAATAATCATTTTTAGATGATCTAGATTACCACTGATCATTCCCTTCCTTATTATTCCCTACTCTACCTTAACCTAGGCTACATATTCGATTCCACACTTTTTAAAGAAATTTTGGAGTAATTTTTGATCCTATAGCTACCCTCATACAGTTCTCGAGACTCTGTGATTCCATGCCCCTTATAAACCAGTCAGTTCCCAGTTTCCTCTCTCATTTTTTCCCACTTTGATTAAGAAAGGTTTTTATAGACAAAGGTAGGAAAGCCTTTTAGACGGTGGACTGCCTGGTGTTATTGAGATAGATCAGATTTAAGAGTTTAATAATTTGTTCATCTTGAACAAATTATTAAACAGGAGCCCCCAGGCACTCCTGTCTCCTGTCTATTCAGTTTTCTGGTAACAATATTTCTTATCTAAACTATTATAACAAAAAAAAAAATTACCTCTCCTTCTTGATCTGATTATGCCTTGTTCCTCTGTCTATTCTCTAAACACAATATCCCAGCCCACAATCCTATATACTTCTCATAGAACTGTTTCCTTTAAAAAATTCTTTATAATGCGTCCTACCTTGTTTTGAAATTCCTTACCCACCTCCATACACAAATCCTTCATCTTTAACTTATTTTAAACACCAATTATTTATACATTTACTCAGCAATCAATCTTCCCAATATATGTAAGAATAAAACATTTGTATTTATGCTGTCAGCCTCATTTTACTTTTACCTCATAGTAACTAAATATTATCTATGTTGCTTATTACTACAAATATCTTTATGTTACAGGTATTTATGTATCTATCTATAATTCCACTTTTAATTTATGCTTATTCTTTATTTTAATGCTAAGGTTACATCGCTCAGCAATTTAATTATTTCTTGTTATTTTATGCCAGAAAAATGAAACCTGTAGATTTCTTGTTAATTCTCAGAACAAAGAACAACAATAAATCACTTCAATAGTCTCAGATAAAATCCACGGATGAATGTATTTTTAAAAATTCAAGTTTCGGATGCTACGTATCTTGAAAAGTAAAACCTCAAATATGGAAAGTTCGTTTCCTCATCGATTACAAAGGTTCATTATTGAATGTAATAAACCAAAACTATTTATTTATATTGATCCAATGGAATTCAGTATGCAACATTTATAATAAATAATACTTGCGCGTTCATAGTGGAGAAGGATGTATAAATATTTTACTTTTCGTTATTTAACACTTATACTACTCTAATGAGATTTATAGTATACTTAGTAAGATAAAACTTTAATTGAAAATTAACTGTAAAGATTAGATGGTATTAAAAGTGACATTTGGTCATTTGGTAGCCATTTTGGCTTTTAGTGCAATACATGAATTTTTTGAGAAATTTCAGAAGGCTCCTGGGCTACACTTATCAGTAGATCCTAAGATACCTTCACACCAAAGTTGGTGCTTTTATCCGTCATTTGGGATCACAGCCATTTATTTAAAACTAACTGTGATTTAAAATAATATTTTTAATAAATTACTCAATTAACAATTCGTTACACCACTAGCATGCTTATTTTAATATTGAATTCTTTATAAATTCAGTATTATGTGACAAAATACTCCTTTTTTATTTAAACACTAATACAATTTTTTTTTTTTTAATTATTATTTGATAGCTTTACTAACTACCAACTTTCACTGCTTAAGGTATTAAGAGATTCTTTACAATTTTAATAATTCTTATAAAAAAAATGAAAAGGTCTCGATCTTGAAATTTCTTTCGAGATAGCTTCTCAAAGTTCGTCCATTATTTGAAGTTCCCGGAAGAGGCAAAGAAAACCCTAAGATGAGCCTGATAAGCTAAAAACTTTAGTTTTCTATTGAAGAACAGTTTATCTCTGGGGCATACAGGATCGGATGTCTTATATGCCTTAGAGTTGCCTATATTTATAGTCATTCATGGCCTTCAGCCTGCTTTTCAATTTATAATATGATTTAACAACAGGTTTGAAATTAAGAGATAAAAGGTTAATTCATACTTTCATATTGCAAATTCCAAATGCTTATGACAGGCCGTGAGATAATAAATAAAAGTTACTAATTAATCCCCTGTCAAAACTCCTCTGAACGAAAATTTATAAGTCGATATTATTTTTAAAATGTAAATAAATAAAATACTACTCCTGCGATTAAAGTTTAAATTGAATTATTCCTTCAGCATATTATTAAGTAAATAAACGACAAATATAAGCTTGTTAAATTGTAATTTAAGATAGTGAAAAATGAAACAGTTTTTTTAGTCTAATTTTTAAATCCTTGGGCTCATAAAAGTGAATACTAAAAAAAAAAAAAAGATAATAGATATACATAAGTCACATTGTATGATGTATACAAGATAGTTAATATACAACAAGGATGAAAATAGAAAGGTAAAAAAAAAATAACATGCATAAAATATAATAAATATCATCAAAGTGACATATAATAATATATCTGTTACTACATCAAGTTATTAAAATACATTCTTCTTCCTCAAACATAGATATATTACAAAAAATAAAACTTTAAGGACAGCAAAAAATACAAAGAAGTTATTAATACAGGCCTGATGAAGGCAAATGTAAAAATAAATGAAATTATTTCTTTACCATTTCAATTTGACTGAACAACCCAACCATCCTTCTCAACAAAGATTTTAGTTTTATCAAACAAGTTTGGCTAACGAAAATTACTTCACTAAGATTACGATTTGTAAATAAATAAAAGTAAGTTAAACAAAGTGGCAATGTTGACCAACGTTGCAGGGTTTCATCAACCAAAGAATAGTCTTACAATTGTTTATAATAGTCACCAAACATTGCTTAGTCATAACAACTACACGATTCTTGACATATAAAGTAAATACCATTTTCGATAAATTGAATAATCTTAATAATTTGAGAAAGCAAAGAATTGAAATTTAATGCATAAGTAAACTGAAACTAAAAAGTGATATTTTTAAATTTTTTTAAGAAGTGATTCTGTAAACCGCAACAGTTAGTAAAATATCAAATTGTTCCCGTATCATTAGTACAACAGTATATCTGACAAGATAAAAATTATTGAGGTAAAGGTGGAATTAATTTTAAAAAGTGATAATAGTAACAGTAAGATAATAATAATTAGTCAACAATATGCAAATGACATACCTTGAAAACATTCCGAAAGTATGGACTACATGCAGACAGAATAACTTTATGAGCCCTAAATTTGTGACCTTCTACACATAATGTAACATCGACTAAATATTCTTCAGTTCGCAGAATATCTAATTCAGACACCATGTTGCTTTGGTAATTGTTCCATCTCAAACAAAAGTGATCAGCTGCCATCGTAAGCAAACTGTGTGATGTTAGGTTTCTGAAAAAAAAGTACTATCAATGTTATGTAAACAAACAGTAACATTTTTATCATTCCATTACAAAACTATGAAATTAATATCTGTGACTAACTGGATATAATATTCGTTCATTTATGGTTAATATTAAAAAATTTTAAGCAATAACAACAATATACATGAATACCTTCTGAAGTATAAACAATGTCTCAACTAATGTAAACATTAGATTTCTCCTCAAACCAACAGTTAATAATGATCATTTCATAATTTATTGAAAAATTAAAACGAATTACTCCAAAAGTAAAACTATTTCAAGTTAAATTAATAATATTTCAAAAAAATCTACACTAACCTGCTATTGAGTTAGGACCAGTAAACAAACCTTCGTTGAAAGATTGCTTGTAATTTTAACGCAGTTTTACAACCATTACTATTAAAGATATTAACTACACAATAAATAATGAAATATCATCCGTGTTTGAAAGAACATTTAATAAGCTTGTATAGAAAATTTCGATAATTAACAAACTCGGCATAAAATGTCTCCTTAGACCGACCGTGACTGTACAGAGTATAGTCAAGCACCTCCCTCCATAAAATATATAATCACCCATCATGTAGTAAATTTAATAATTCATTCAGCCTGTGAAATAATGAAAGATTAGTATACGAAATCGCTCAATTTTTTTAAAAAGTAAGTTGATTTCCCAGTGTTTGTACAATATCCTTCTTTAAAAATGAATTAATAATTATTGTTAACCCCCCCCCCTCGTATTTCGTTCTCATTAATCTTTAGATTCAGAATATATTTTTAGAATTTTATTTTGTTCTTCAGATTATATAACGATTGATTTAATTATATATATTCATAAATACAAACAAAATATATGTTTCAAATGTCAAAGACATTTCAAATATATAGATACATTGGCTTAAACTTTATTTTTGACTCCCCTAATTATTAAAATAAATAAAACACACTCTTTTCAACGAACCTATAAATATTTTGTGTTAAAAAATATGACTGACTCCGGAATAAATAAATTCAGCAGAAGTCAGACAAGTATCAAAACAACGCTGAGTTCGTGGACGGCATGAGAAATCCATCAAACCATTTCTAAACACATCAATGGAATTTAACGCGTTTCTTTATTTATTATTACTCTTTATTGTCGAATCACAGATGGCTAAGCGGTTCCATCGGCTTTAAAATCTGAATGGATCTGCTGGAGTTATCACTACCTCAGTGTGGTTATTTCCACAGTTTAATTCACATATTTAAATTCAGTTTGCTATTTATTTCTTTTTTAAAACGAAACACTTCAGTATGTGGATGTTTCCAAAATATTTTTTTTTTAATTTCCAAGTCTTTTCTAACCTTCCAGCCAAGGCTTTTAATTAAATCCTAACTTCTGTTTTCTGTTATTTCCGAACCTAAATTTTGTCCTCTTGTTTTATGTAGTTACCCAGGGGTGTCCATACCCACCTTCTCCCCAAGGTCGATGGCGCAAGGATCATTCCATCTCTCCAAAAATTTTATTACCCTACTCTTCTTAAAAACAGTGCAAGCGAAATTAGAATTAGAAAAATCGTAGATCATAAACAATTACACTTGCTGTGCCTATCCCATGCTTTCTCCCTAGTTCTCTATTTTGAAACTTTTCACACAGAAAATTCATAGGTCCGTCAAAATATACCATGAAAGCCCCTTCTGGGCAATCCTATACTTAGCTATTTAACAGTTTAGTTAATTTTGCCCAAAAAGTCTTTAATACTACTTTTTTTTCTTTGCTGTTAAAAGAAACGATATCGTCTGTGGTACAGACCGCTTTTTATTAAATTATTAACATCCAACTGAAATTTCGTAAATAGCTTCATCTCAACATAACCTAAAACTATTTTATTTACGAAAACTCTTGGAATTGGGCCGTTTTCAATCTGAAGATCGGCAAATTTTATCTTTTTGATAAGGTACTAAAGCTCGTAGTACCCATTCGCTTTTCACATGGATCGATCGATAATTTGATCACAAAATCAAAGGAAAATGTGGATTTCAAAAATATTGAGCCGTTTTGTGTGTCCTACAATCTACACTCCAAAATGTAAAAATAACCAGTTTATATTGGACAAAAAGCCCAATATTTTTGTAGGCAATCTTTTTTCTCCATTTTGTGATCAAATTATCTTACAATCCAAGTGGAAAGTAATACGGTAAGTATAAAAAGGAAGTAAATGGATATTGACGAGTTTTTAGTAACTAATTAAACAGACAAACTTTGCCGATCTCCAAATTTAAAGCACCCTAATTCCAAGAGTTTTCCAAGAGTAAATAAATTAGTTGTAGGTTACCATGAGATGAAGCTATTCACGAAGTTTCAGGCGATGTTAATAATTTGATAAAAAGGGGTCTGTACCACGGACTAATGTATTAGAATAAAATAATTCATTTAAGATAAATTATATCTCTAATTGAAGACCAATTACTATATAACGCTCAATGTATATTTAAAAAGAAATTAAACAAATACAAGTTACACTTTAATTATAAACCTAGACATTTCTGAAAAATAACGTTCTTAGAACTTTTATTTTGACAATTTTTTTTCTTAAAAATTCACAGAAACTGTTAAAATGGAATTTTTTTAAATTTCCATAAAAGTTTTATCCTTTTATGGACAAAAGGATAGGTTATCTTTTCATTCTAAAGTGTCAATATTCCGCTAGAATTCAGCAGGTCGTTCCCAAACTCATCATAAATCTCCGTCACTGGTACTGTATTCAATCGATTGATTAATTACATCGATGAAATTAGCATTGAAGTAGAATTTCCAATGGAAAGCTAATATAATCAATCCAATACGAGAAAAAAGATTTATGCAGTTTAGAAATGATCTAATTGATTTTTCAGACGATGTCCTTAATGTTGAGGTACTACATAAAGGATGAAAGTATTTAAACTGTATACTTCCATCCTAGAGAACCGATTAAGACCAGTGGTGGAACCTGACCTCTTGGAAGAACAAAGTGCTTTTAGGCCCAACAGGCAAACAAATAATCACATCTTTACCCTGAGAAATGAGATAAACAAGTCCTGGGACCGAGACCAAAAGATTTATCTCGCCCTCTTAGACTTGAAGGCAGCATTCGGTTCGGGTCCCCGGAATGAAATTTGCAAATCCCGGAAGGCGAAAAACATCCCAATGTAGTTTTTAAACTATATATAATCGTCAGGAGTCAGTAGTGTTTAGTCTCGAAAAGTGAGTAAAACAAGGCTATTCCCTAAGCAGCCTTCTCTTCATTGTCTATATGGATGAGATCACCTCCATCTGCAAAAGGCGCACAGCACAAATGCACATGGCCCATGAGAACTTGCTTCCTTTAGTTTTACAGTGTTTCCTATTTGCAGACGACATCGTTCTTATTGCAGATCCCCCCGCGACTTCAGCAGGCAGTAACAGATTGGAATGAAGAATTGAAGAGGAAGGGAATGATCATCAATTCCCAAAAAAGCAAAATACTTTAAGACGGTAGAACTCAAGAGGATTGTCTGTAATGAAGAGATGATGGAGGTAGTGACAGATTTTACTCATCTGGCTATTTGCTTCGGTAATCCAAATCTAGTAATCAATGGGTCAAGAAAAGTAGATTCGGAAGTCTCAAGCAGGATATCAAAAGCAAATTCCGTCTACTATACGATATGCAATACCGTAAGCGGAAAAAAAGAAGTGGGACAGAATGTGAATCTCCATCTGTTCAAGTCTGTCTTCCTACCGGTATTTCTTTAAGGAGCAGAGGGTTGGATCCTGAATGAGAGGTTACAAAGCCGTGTTACTGCCACTGAGATGAAGTTTCTTATAAGAATTGTGGGGAATACGCGAAGAGACTGTGTCCAAAATGACAAGATCAGGGAGGAGCTAAAGATACGCACCGTGGAAACTCTGGGGAGGAGACAGCTGAAGTAGTATGTGCATGTCTGCCGGATGGACCACCACAGAGATCCAGTTAAACCCCTAGAGGTGAGGATGGTGGAGAGAAGACCGAGAGGTCGACCAAGAACCTCATGCGCTAGCCATCTGGAACGAATTAGAAGACGAAGATGGAAGACCCTGGAGCCGAGAGGCAAATGGATGAAAGAGAGGGGCGAGGTGGCCGAATGACTAACGTGTGTGTACAGCACCGTGAATTGCCGGCAACCAGATAACCAAGTTTTGAGATTGAAGAAAAGTACGAGTTCGCGTCCCGGTGCCAGAGGGGATTTTAAATTCTACACCCTCACCATCAGGTCCGGGAAAATTCCGTACAGCCTAAAAGGTGAGGTAGGGAAGAAAAAAAAATGGGTCGAAGAGAAAGAAGAAGAAGAATTAGCATTGAGTTAAAGAATTTCTCAATGGAAAGCTAATGCAATCAATCCATCACGAGGAAAGCGGTTTATGCTGTTTAAAAACGAACTGATGGATTTTTCAGTCGAGGTCCTTAATTTCGAGGTGCTGCATAAACCTTAAAATAGAAGAAGAAAATAGTAGTAGGGGACAAAGGAAAGTGGGAGGAGTGGGAGAAGGTGGTGGGGATATTTTGACCTGCTGGTGGAAGATAATGAGCTGCTGTATTTACAACTCGTTGACTTCACGAACTTGCATTCACGAACTACAATTCTTGAACCATGTGGGGTCAAGTTAGGTGTTTTGACAGGATGGTTTAAATAATGTTTTATTTTTTAAGTCTGTTCATGATAAGTTTGATTTTTATAAATAAAACCTCTTACTAGTAGAGTTCAGTTAAACGGCCATTTCATTTCATTGTCTATTTGAGATGGAGGAGATTGATAAAGAAAGCAAAAAGCCTCACAGGGTAAGGCATTCAGGTATGTTTACAATCTAATTTTAAGCTTTTATATTAGAATTCCTATTACAAACTTCAATTGATTTTAAAGTTGGGTGATTCAGTGTCTAGCCACATAATTCCTGGGTGCAGTTTTGACTTATGATTTAGTTGGCCAATATTTTTGTTCTATCTAGTGTAGTATATACCTTTATTGAAAGTGGGTAAAAATGATTTAGTACATTAATGTTGAACAATTAAAAGTTATTTTCCATCTTGGGAAACTACAGAATAGCCATTTTCTTTTCCCTGCACTAGTAGAACTAGATTAGCTTGCCTTTTAATTGTTCAACATTAATTTATTAAATCATTTTTACCCACTTCCAATAAAGTTGTATATTACACTAGATGTGGAATAAATCGTTCTTTTGGAGACTAGTACAATGAATTAAATGAAGCTATCAGTTTACTCATTGTCAGAATAGAAGTAGAAAAATTAATATTTCAAAGGTCATATCATGTATAAACCCAGTACATTGCAGTTAAAAAAGAAGTAGTTAATTTACTGTGATAGGTATAAGTGGGAGTAATGTTACTAAGTTCGAACTTGGTACATTGAACTATGTTCTAAATACCTAGTGATAGGGTGGGATGAAATACTTTAACTGTTCCTCATACATCATACACACCATTCCCCATCCACTGTTCTATTGAACTTTATAACCATTCGTTGTTTGTATGATACCTTTTGCTGAACCATTCATTTTAAACTAGTTTGTTCAGAACCTTCACATCCCTAGTTGTACCAGTATCAGTAAGACCCTAAGATTATATCCACTTTTTTAATGCGAGAACTGTTGCTTATGATTGTTTACTTATTATTAAAATATTTGAGATAGTATGACAACTATGGTTAAAGTTATCCCGTTTCTTTCCTAGAATGTTATTTAATTATTCATCCTAAAATATAAGGGGACTAAATGTCTCAGAATAAAATTTACTTTCTTTCTGGTACTAGTTCACAAGAGTTCCGCACGGATTACGCGTGGTTCACAATCACTTCGATCACACTTGTTCATGGAATCCCGAAAACAGCCGAATGTTGTCGTCTTTTATGACGTCAGCTATTGTCCCTCTTAATGCAGTTTTGAAAGAAAAAAAAAACGTATTCCCTTCGTGGAACTTCCTTATTAAAAATGTATTAACAAATTGTGTATTTACTTAATTAGTTAATTATTAATTTGCATTATAACGGTCATTACTGTGGAAAAAAAAAGAAAACATATATAAAATAATGTTTGAGTCTTTCTTCAAGGCCTGTAAAAAAAAATGCTGTTAGAAATAAAATTTTTATTGACACGTGCTTGCATGTAGTGGCTATAAATACGTATGTACTGTTGTATATTATCTATTATAAATTGTATAAAAGAGTTTTTTATCATTTGGATAATAAATAATCCGAATGGCGATTATTGTAGTCATTCATAAAATAAAGAAAATCGTGTTTATTTTCGAGCAAGGAATTAACGTATTGAGGAAAGAACTGAAGAAGAATATCTGATAATTCCGAGATAATGAATAATGGAAATCATAAATAAGAAAAATATTGTGAAATAGCATTCAGAGATGTAATAATTAAATGTTTTTATCTATTAATATTCCTTTTTCACATATATATAATATACATATATATAATGTATAATATATACACACATATATATAATGTGCATGTTCGATTCATGTTTCATAATGTGTAGTCTAAATTTCGAATTTAAGTCAATACCTTAAATAACGTTAATATAACTGAACATGATTAAGATTATAGAAGTACTTAAATGGCGGGAAAGTTAATCGTAACTAATTCAAGAGATCGGTCGCCTTCGTTCTCTGTGGGATAAACCCGAAGGCATTCGGGATTCCATGAACAAGTGTGACCGAAGGGATTGTGAACCATGCGTAATCCGTGCGGAACTCTTGTGAACTAGTACCTTCTTTCTTTCAAAATATCTTATTTCACCTTAAATATCTTATTTTGAACTGAACATTTCTTCCTCAAAGGGATATCTTTAGGTAGTACTGTAAAAATATCACTTCACTTTCGTCAGTGGTATAAGATCGCTAGATCACTCCTTAAATGAAATTCCAAGAATGAACGAGTGTGTTCAAGATTATACAAAAACGACTGAATCTTCTGGTTAGGCCCCAACCTTCACCGAGCAGGCATTGTGAGCATGAGTAAAAAACAGTGATGTAATTAATGCTAATTAATATTCTGGTTTTAATTGAAAAGGACTTATAGTGTGGTGATTCTGTAACTACTCAGAATCCTGTTTATACCATGAACAAGAATTTTTGTCCAATGTGGTAGGTGAAGTGACAATTGTACAATAACATCCATGTTTAGGTGAATATATTAATATTTTATGATAAAATATATTCAAGTACCTATTATAATTATTCTCCTGCTATTATATTAAATTTATACTATTTACTTTTGCTGCAATAATAAATTTAATTTTCAGGCAGGAAGGCAGAGAAGAAAAAGGCTAAAAATCCTCATGTTCAGGAGCTTAGTGATAAACAAAGAAATCCCAAAGCTTTTGCTATAACTTCAGCTGTTAGAGCTGAAAGAAACTTCAGGAGGTAAGATTAATTTATGAATCTTTCTATGAAAAGGTTACTTTATGGATGTTAAATGTTTTTTTTTTTCATTTTAATTGTATCCCGAAATGGTTAGATGTGTTTTATTTAAAGTTAACATTGTTACCAAAGATGCATAAAGGCATTTATTTTTGCATTTCTGGTAAACATCACCATCTCCATAAATTTACCAACATTTGGAGAAAATAAAAAACAATACCAAATTGGTATTATTCTTCCGCAGCTCTCTCTATTTTCTGTTCGAAAGTTTATTCTAGATCCAAATTGGAGCCAAATAAACAGATATATTTGCCAGCCAAATCGATTAGCCTATTCACACTCTTTTCCTGTTATTTTGCCATACTTGTTATACATTAAAAGTTTTAGGAATAATTATTTAAAAAATTCAATAAAAATATATTGCCTGCCTGTATATAATTGTGTATTCTTTCTTGCTACTTGTTACGATCCTTCATCAGCCTATTTATGACAGTCCTCCCCTTCTGCTTGTCAGTTGAGGACTCGGAAAGCTTTACTTGGAGTGTTTGTCCTCAGAACAGCTTTTCCTCAATTGACAAACACAAGAGGAGGACCGTAGTAATTAGCTTGAATAAGGGCTGAAACTGGAAAGAAATAACAATTATATATAGAAAGACTTAGAATTTAGAATTTGATCACATTCTTGTAATATTAAGCGTTCTTAACCTTATTACACCCGGTTAAAATATTATTTTAAAAATTTAATATTTATTTGATCGCACCCTCCGACCAACTCCTTCTCAAAAAATAAAAATATACATGCACACATGTTTTTGTTTGAATATCGGAAATTTCATATTCAATAAATGTTGAAAAACATGTAAAATATAAAATGTATATAACACATTTCCCAATAATATGTCTTCATGATTATATTCTAATTTTACAGAACACAAGATTTAAAAAGAAAAAAGGAACACATACCAGTTGTTAATAGGACACCTCTTGAGCCACCTCCTATTATTGTCGCAATTGTTGGCCCTCCTAAGGTTGGAAAATCTCTTGTCTTAAAATGTCTTATCAAGTCATATACAAGGCAGCCATTGGTATCAATCAAGGGCCCCGTGACTGTAGTTTCAGGTAATAAATACTAAAAATTGTTGAATTTCTTATTTTGGTTGATTAAAAAATTTAAAGTATAATTTCATCAATATTCAAATGACTTATAACCATGAAGAGAAGAATAGTTGGGGTGTTCAGTCAAAAAGGAAGGCAAAAATAAATGATAATATTTATTTTTTACATATGCCGACGTTTCGACCTGAAGTTCAGGCCTTCATCAGGGCTAAGAAAATAACCAGATAACAAGGTATGAGAAACATAAGTAATGATGGTAAAAAAGATAATAAAAAATAAAAAAATAAAATAAAAAAATTAGAAAAATAAAATAGATAAATATAAAGTAAAATGAAATTGTTAGAATAATGACTAAGAAATAAGAGATAAATAATAAAAACCGTTACAAAGTGTGGAATGATGAAGTAGGCATAATCAAAAAGGGGGTGACAAAAGTGTTACATTGGGAATCTTAGAATAAAATGTAAAACATAAAAAAGAAATATGAAGTTATATAAGAAATGAAAATAAATAGTAAAATCAAAACATTGAGAATGGAGTAGTTAGATAGAAAATTGAGATATTGTAAAGTCTATCAAGATGTACAGACAATGTATAATATAATAAAGAGTTAAAAACAGAGAAAAGTAATGAAAGGAAGGAGGGAAGAAATTGAGAAAGCTGAAATAAGAAAGAAATAAAAGAAGTACTACCTGTCTCCTTAAGTGTCGCAGGGAGAATAAAAGTCGTTACAAGGGAGGTGGAGAGAGAAGAGATGTGTAGGTGGCGTCATCTCTAACGGTTATCCGACGAAGTTTGAACTAAAGCACTGGAAGCGTAAATAGGTACGAGAGATATATTACTCAGAAAAATTATGGAAAATTGAACGAATTTTTTTTATTTTATTTTTTTATTTTTTATTATCTTTTTTACCATCATTACTTATGTTTCTCATACCTTATTATCTGGTTATTTTCTTAGCCCTGATGAAGGCCTGAACTTCAGGTCGAAACGTCGGCATTTGTAAAAAATAAATATTATCATTTATTTTTGCCTTCCTTTTTGACTGAACACCCCAACTATTCTTCTCTTCATTATCCACGACAGTCAACCAATTACCAATTATGGACTTATAACCATATTATATGATTTGTGAAATAATTTTTTCTTGGATTTATTTCAGGAAAAAAACGGAGAATCACTTTTATCGAAAGCAATAATGATATCAATTCCATGATAGATATTGCAAAAGTAGCAGATTTGGTATTACTCCTAATTGATGCTTCTTTTGGATTTGAAATGGAAATTTTTGAATTCCTGAACATTTGTCAAGTAAGTTGATTATGATGCCAGATTTATGGCGCATAAATCAAAATGGGCTAGATTTATAAAAAAAGATATTAATTTGACATTTTTTTATTAGTAATAATAAGTTTTAGATTAATAATCATGTTTTAAAGTATCGTGAATATTACGATCAATTTTGTTAAGCTGAGGATGTTTCATCACACAGACCAATAAATTTATCAAATGTGTCAGAGTCTCTTGATCTAAAAACTGTGGATCTAGTCCGGTCTCCTTCGTGATATGTATTTATAATGTGTGAGTGATGGTATATTGATATGTTATGATAGCAGATATTTTTACTTTCCTACCTACACTAGGTAAGGAAAGTATTACAATCGGTTCCAATTTCCGACATGCGGTTTTCGACGGATCTATAAGTTTCAGAGCCCTCTGAGTCAGAAAAACACATTTTTAGCCATTGGTCTGTCTGTCTGTCTGTCTGTCTGTGCCAAGATTTCCTCGTGTACTACTGAACCTATTTTGTTGCTTCTTTTTTTATTTTGTAGGGTTTTGACTACTGATGCCTGTGACAGAAATTCGGTGCTCCATACGCAATAAATGAAAAACATGTTTTTCTATAGACTGTAGCTCAAAAATGGCTCTAACGATTTTGATGAAACTTTCCTATAATGTTCTAATAATTTTCGTATATAGACTAAATTCCCGAAAAAATTCAGGAAAAAAGTTATAAAAAAAAGAAAAATGTTAAGAGGCCTAACTCCCTAAGTAGTTAAATTACCAACAAAACAAACAAAAATCATCGGAATCAAACCAGTATTAGCGATGATACAGCTTATTCTATTTTTTACACATTTTTTTAACTTATTACTTTCCTACCTATACTATGTTAGAAAAGTATTGCAATCGGGTCACATTTCCGACATGCGGTTTTCGACGGATCTATACATTTCAGAGCACCCTGAGTCGCGTTTGAAAGGTAATGAAATTCCCTACAAAGCCATATAAAAATCGTTCATTTTGGACAACTATTAACGAAGTTGCAGCTATTCAATTTCCAATCTAAGATTACGGTTTCATATCCTGGTGTCAGAAAGGGGTGAATGAGAGAATAAAGATGACTAAGTGAAAGTAAGAAAATCCGTTGCCCGCATCGCACAATGTTCACTATTTCCTCTACTTTTAACAGCAATTATTGTTTGACAATACTAAGCTATGCCAAAAAGTTTTTGTTCAGCAATATTAGAGAGTATTGAAATGTTTACACTGATCTACCTTAACCCAGTTTGCATTGCTTTAGTTTATCAAATAAATAGTGCTCAAGTGTTCGATCAATTTTCAGGAAAATGTATCTAGTTCAATTCTTTTTTGTTTCTTCATGAATATATGTAAAGATATAAAAACTTTTCTGAAATCGGTAGGAAAGTCGTGTGAGTGGACACACCAGATGTTTTTATTATTGATATAGACCAACTCTGGACTACAAACATATCACTTAGTCTTTTGCTATCACTTTATTCTCCTCCACATTTCCTTCATCTTCGAAGAGAGCTATGTCTTCTGCTCCTCTGACCACTTCCCTTTCTTTTTAAATGTCTCTCTGTTTACCTTAAATGCTTTAGTTTTCATTATTTTTTCTACTTTATTAGGTATGAATTTAATTTTAATTTGCGACAAGTAATGTTCAGATGTGACATTGAGAGATTTTCTTACCTTAACATTTTTTATCTCCCTATGATGGTTTTTCGAGATTGCTACATGGCTGGAACTCTGCTTTTTTCGCAGTTTCGGAGGAAATGCGCAGACGGCGGACGGACAAAAAAATCCTGAAACCTCAAATTTTGGGAGGGGGTTAAGTTTTTAAAATTTTTGGTCGGTCACAATGGTTGATTATTGAAAATAATAAACCAAAATATGACACTATAAATAAGAAATACATATAGAAGTATAATATTTGTTATTTTGGTATTTGTTTAAAAGGTACATGGGATGCCTAAAATAATGGGAGTGCTTACACATCTTGATGTTATTAAAAAGACCAAGAAAGTGCAGAAAACCAAAAAACTCTTAAAACATCGATTCTGGAAAGAAGTTTACCCTGGAGCCAAACTGTTCTACCTCTCCAACTTTCAAAACGGTGCTTATCTTCGGAATGAAATCAAGAATTTAGCAAGGTTTATTTCTGTAATGAAATTTCGACCTCTAACTTGGCAGTCCACTCACTCCTATGTTTTAGGTAAGTGATGTATAACCTTTATAAAAATTATATCTGTACACAATAATAAAATTGATTAAAAAGTTTAGTTAAACAAATATGATAAAAGAAAATCTAAATTTTTGGTCTTATAAACCTTATATTACTTGTGTACTATTAAACAAAGAATGTCTATTGTTTAATTTTAGCTGATCGTATGGAAGACATGACACCACCTGACCAAATTCAACGTAATTCTAAAGTTGATAGAAATGTCTGCCTGTATGGCTATATGAGAGGTATCCCGATGAACAAGAACTGCTTCGTTCATATACCAGGTATTTAATTTATAATTTTCTGCTTTTAAATAAATTTTCAACAGTATTAATATTTTTACTCAGTCGAATAATTGAATAATTAATTAATAAACTTATGAGGGTGGTCTGAAAAGTTTCTAACCGCAACGTGAAGATGGCAGCACTCGTAAATAAAAGCAAGTGAATTTTACAGTGTTTATTACAGTTTTTATGTAACAGTCATTTGAGTGAGTTGATGTGAGTTTTTTTGTAATGGACAAAATCGAGTGTCAAGCTGTCATTAAATATTTATTTTTGAAAGGCAATACGCATACAAAAATCAAAGATGAGTTGAATTTTGTTTATGGAGACTCTGCACCATCATTTACCACAGTTAAATTTTGGGCAGCTGAATTTAATCGTGGTCATAAGAGCTTGGTAGATGATGAATGTTTGAGACGTCCAAAAACTGCAACTACCGACGAAAACATTGCTGAAGTTCACCAAGCAGAAGTTATGAACATGTCAAAAGAACATGTTTGTTACATATTGAATCAACATCTAGATATGATAAAGCTGTCCGCACGTTGGGTACCGCATTTGCTCACATTAGACCAAAAATGTGTTCAATTTAATATTTCCAATGCTCTTTTGGTACAATAAATCCGAGTTTTGACGCCAATTAATTACTGTAGATGAAACTTGGATACACCATTATACGTGGACAGCAAAGGGGGAGGGAGACCGTTTCCAAAAAAAGCAAAAACTTTTCTAGGCTGGTAAAGTGATGACGACTGTTTTTTGGGATAGTCTTGGAGTTATTTTAATCTACTATCTTCAAAAAGGAAAAACCATTACAGGATCATTCTATGCATCATTACTTGACAAGCTGAAGGCAGAACTTGTGGAGAATGGCCACATTTGCAGAAAAAGAAAATCCTGTTTCACCAAGACAACGCTCCTCCTCATACCTCAGCAGTTGCCATAGCGAAAATCCACGAATTACGGTTTGAACTGCTTGATCATCCGCCTTACTCATCAGATCTAGCCCCAACCGATTTCTTTTGTTCCCTTATCTAAAAATTGCGCTTGGAGGACAGTGATTTTCATCAAATGAAGAGGCAATCACCTTCGTGAACAATTATTTTGCAGTACTTTTGACTTTTGAGTACTTTTTGGATGGGTTACAGAGATGGGAGCATCGTTGGGAGAAGTATGTAGAGTTAAAAGGAGACTATGTTGAAAAAGAAAAGAAAAATTCAGAAAAAGTGTCTTGTATTTTTGTTAGGTCACTAACTTTTCAGACCACCCACATAATTGATTGAACTTATATTTAAAATGTTTTCGTCTCACTGCAGTCTTAAAATTTATGAGAAATACACTTCCGGTATCGTACTGTTAATGTGATGGTATTTTTATGTGGTTAATGTAACTATTTTTTAACACTCCACTTAGGAGAGGAGGACCCTTCCTCCAGCTATTCTTCTGGTGACCAGGAACACACACTAGTTCCATCCTCTTGGAGCAGGCCAGTGTCTCCAAAGCCTGTTTACACTCCTGCGCCAGTATGGAGGGAGGCTCCAATTATCGCAATTAGTAGCTTCTAGACAGGTGGCTGCAGAGAGTATAAGAAACACCTCTGCTTGAAATACTGTAGCATGTTTACCCAATGGTATGCTTAATTCTATATTTAGGTGTTTCGTACTCTTAAAGGCATCCAGTTTACGTTTCTTGATAAAAAGTATCAACTCAGTCTTTAATGGATCAACTGATAAGTTGATATTAGTACACCATGTCTGAACAATGTTGCATGCAACTTGCATTCGTTTGAAAAGAATTGTATTTATGAACTTTCCTGTGATGAGGATTTTGCTGTCATCCGCGAATGCCTGGGCATAGATCTCAGCTCTCTCCAGTCTATTTAATAGGTCATTCATTTACCAGGCATCACAACAGTGGTGAGATGCAACTCCCCTGGGGGCACCCCATACTGCTTCTTCCGAAACAACAATAATTCTATTTTTGAGTACGAATCTTACCCAACTGATAAGTCAACTCAAATGGTTTGAGCTCTCCTACAGCTCATTTAATGGCTCCTTTGGTGACAACTGCCTCAGCCCATGTCCATTCTTCCATAAGAACTTCTTCATTTCGGTCCATGATAGGAGGATTGTCTTTGTTTATTACCTTACTACCCGGAAGTGGGTATCCAGTAAATGAGTTAAAGCATCCTCAAGACTGTAGGTCCATTTGCTGTCCGATTTCTTTAAAACTCCTAATGATAGATGGTTATTATTGCCTATGATCTTTATTAACCGGGAGGCTTCAGGCATTTTTACTGCAAAAATTGTGCCAACCCTCCCGTTTGTGCCTTCTTAGAACTCTTTTATAAGTATTAGAAGTAGCACTATAGTAATCCCAATCTTCTTTTTGTCTTGTTCTAAAGGCTTTCCTGGAACAGTCTAGCTCATAAACGAAAAGTAGTACGAAACTGATATTAAGTATTTAAGGTTTGTATATGGGCCGGATATGACAGCAACTTTTTTGTTAAAATCGGCTAACCGGAAGTGCCACTTTATATGAACGCTGAAACACATTTTTTTTAAAAACGGCTCTTAACGATTTTGATTAAACTCGGTGTATCATTGTATAATTAAGTGGTCTTTAATATCATTTAGGTCTTATGCCCGTTGATTTAACTTTACAGGGCTTAAATGCCCAATGTTCATATATGTCTTCCTCCAAAGTACCTTTATATGGTTTATTTTAAAAAGTTAATCATTTCGCATTATTCAGAGTTATTAAAAAATGCTACATAACTTTTGAAAGAATTTGATAAGTTAATAAAGGAGAAAAAATAAATAAAAATGCAGAAAAACCTGCGTTGCTATAGACTGTAGCGCCTAAACGAATATATCGATTTCAATGAAACTTCGCTAAAGTCATTTTCTCGACACCCTTTAAATTTATCCATATAACATACTTCAATGGAAAAAAAGTTACGATGGATTGTAAAATTAAATTCCGAATAACTCAAAAAGTATACGCTTTTTTATTGATATTGTAAATGGTTTTTTAAAAAGTGTATGGAATTTCCTAAAATAACAACAAAAAAAAAATTGTTAAAATTGGATAATTAGGAGGAAAGATATGGCCTCTAGTTTTTTTCTTTGAAGAGGTGAAAATTTGGATAAATTTAAAATATACTTTTTTAATTGTTGAGACTAAAAAACCTTTTTTTCTACAGATATTTAATAAAGTATCTTTCCTAAGAACATCTTTCATAAGAAATAAGAACCTAAATTTATTCCTTTATTCCCAGTTCTATATTTCAATGCTGCAATCACCACCTCCGGAATCAACTTACTCATTGTCTGCATAGATAACTTTTTCAACTAAAAATATCACTAAAATGACATCACTCAAAAATATTTAAATTGGAGTTAGTCATTCTATGGTTTATAAAAGCAAAGAAAATTGTGGGTTTATAAAAGCAGATGGAGTGACTAGATTTTTATTGCCTGCCGTCGATATATTAAATAGACATTTTGTATTTATAATGGTCTTAATTACTTGTTATCTGTAAGCTTTAAGCTTTAGCTCCATTTAAAATGCACTTCAAAAAATTGTGTAATAGCCCAACATTGCCAGGAAATAATTTCTACTCAAAGTAGATCGGTAAGTGAAAGTCGTGTGTTGCGCGCACCAGATTTTTTACTCACTGGTCGGTAACTATTATAACTGTTAAGTTGTAGTTCACTTTTCCGAGAAAAGGAGAAAGTTATTTCTCCATTGAATAGAAAAAAAGTGAAATTAATGATATGATATTTAGGATAGTTCTGGTGACATTTTCAGAGTTAAAACTTCTAAGTGACAGTTGCAATAATATGAGTAAGATCTTTTGTATACACAATGGTCGAAAATAATATCACCTTTCGTTTAGACATGATAATGGCCTGTAAACATAGATTTATTCTTATAAATGTTAATATTTTTTAATTTAAAGTCAAATTATAATAAAATTCTCTTCTTTCAGGATGTGGAGACTTCCCGTTGAGCGATATCAGTTTCTTGCCCGATCCTTGCCCCCTTCCCGATCAGATCAAGAAGCGCTCTCTGACAGACAAGGAGCGATCAGTATACGCTCCGTTCTCTGGTGTTGGTGGTATCGTCTACGATAAAGATGCTATTTATGTTGATATACCTTCGACTCGTCCCTCCAATGTTAGTTATGAAATTTATTTTTATTAATATTTTTTATTAAAATTTATTTATAAATTATTAAAATTTATTTATTTTTATTATTAAAATTAATTTAGTTAATAATTATGAGCTAAATAACTGTATTTGATTGCAGAAAAATAAACCAGAGATTGAAATGATCAGCAACCTGCTGCAAACTAAGGTAACGATGGAGACTAAGTTAGCGCACAGTAAGATTCAGATCTTTTCTGGTGCCGAACCAGTAACAGCTGAAGATCTGGAAGAGTAAGTGTTTTAATATATCAATTATTAATTTTTCTTCTGCACTAGCAATGATTAAAAACGCTGCAAATTATTTCACAATGGTTTATTATTTCCAAACAATTATACATCTAAAGTAACATTATCTTCCGAGTTACAAAGAAAAAAAATAATAAACCAAAAAACAAAAGATTATTCCAATTATTGGACTAAACTGTTTTTCTTTAATCATTAGTAATATGCTTAAAAAAAAATAGCATTAGTTCAGTAACACATTCAAAATTTAAAAACCAAACCAAGGATATAACATTTGGAGTAGAACATATACAAAAAAAACAGGAGACCATATCTTTGCTCCTAATTGTTCGATTTTAACGATTTTTTTTTTGTTTATTAGGAAATTTCGTAAACTTTTAAAAAACCATACAATATCAACAAAAAAGTATAAACTTTTTGAGTTATTCGGAATTTAATTTTACCATCCCTCGTAACTGTTTTTTCAGCTTCTTTTCGTTGAAGTATGTTATATAGGTAAATTTAAAGGGCATCGAGAAAATGACTTTCGCGAAGTTTCATTGAAATCTGTTCATTCGTTTAGGAGCTACAGTCTATAGCAACGGTTTTTCGGCCACCATTTTGAAAGTTAAAGGCAGAGAGTAATGTCGATGAAGGAGGATCATCCTCAGGTGACCTCTGATTTTATATCAAAATTTGAAAAAAAATCGGTCCAGTCGTTTCGGAGAAAATGCGTGTACAAAAAAATTTTTATTTGTTTTTCGAATTCTAGGCGTCCTGAAACGTTAAACCTCAACTTTTGAGAGGGAGTTAAGTTTTTGAATTTTTTGGTCTATCACAGTGGTTGATTATTGAAAATAATAAACCAAAACAGAAAGAAAAAAAAAAACCTTTGGTTGATTTCTCACATTTTATCATCTTAACTCAAGATTCATTTATTGTTATCATTGTATCGTTATTACTTGTGATTACTATTTAAAACTATAATAATTGTGCTGTAAACTAAAATAGGATGTGCCACTCTAAATGCTTGTTATCAAAATTCAATGGATAGTAAATATATAATAAACATAACAATAAACAAATATAACAAAAGCGAAAATTCATCAAATTATTCACCAATTTAATTTTCTAAAAGATTACTTGATGATTTTTTTGGAATAAACGGCCAATTAATACCTAATTATTTAAATGTAATATCAAATCTTGAGTTATTTAACTACAGTAAATGAATTTAAGGTTATAAACATATACATGAAATATTTTTATATTTCACTTCTTTCAAAAAAGTACAATGAAATAGTATTTAAAACAATGGCATTGGCTTGATTCAGCTGATTTTAAATTTTAAAGTTTACATTTAGTAAGAACATTTCATTTAATTTCCTTGTAAACATATGATTTACGTTAAATAATGTTGGTTTTCTGAAATTATTATTTATATTTTTTTTAGTCACTCCATTACCTTTTTCAACTTAATTTATTTGATATTATTTTTTCTATAATTCTCCGCTTTCCAACGATATATTATATGTATTACCTTCTGACTGTTATTTCCGGCGATTCATTTTCGACATGGATAAGCATTCTTCTTTTTTTATTCTTTATTCAATTATCGAATTCTTAGAAAAGTTATATTTAGCCATTTTTTATAGTTACTCTCAATAAAAGAGAGTTAAATTTCAAAATAAACCATATTATAAATACTTTAGAGGTAGACGTATATGAACATTGGGCATTTAAGCCCTGTAAAGTGGCATCATTGGGGATAAGACCTCAATGATATTAAAGACCATTTAATTATACAATGATACACACCGAGTTTAATCAAAATCATTACAGCCGTTTTGAGAAAATTGTAAAAATGTGTTTCACCATTGATATGAAGTGACACTTCTGGTTTGCCGATTTTAAGGGAAAAGTTGCTGTCACACCTAAGGCACACCTATCTTAAATACATAGTATGAGTTTTGTACGACTTTTCATTTTTGAGCTAGACTGTTCACATACAGACCATTTTGATGGGACTTGGTTATTTGGACTCAGAGGACCTCAAAATAGTTTTCCATTGAAAACTCAGATTCACAAATTTTCATGATCACAATACTTTCCCTTACTATATATTCCATATATAGGTAAGTGAAAATAAAAAAATGTTTTTCAAAAGAGTATATTAATTTTTAAAATACTGATTTACTTTAACGAGCAACTATTAAAAACCTGTTCTATTAAAATTAATTTATTAAATTTTTGTTTACAAATCAAATTCAAATAAAAATGTTTACGATAACAAAAATTATGGAAATCGGTATGCTGTAGCTAGATGATGGAAGATGAATTATTTAAGAAAATAAATATAATCGAAAGGATAATATTGGCATTGTTGTAAGACATTACTATTATTGTTATTTATCATATTTATTATAGAATATTTTTCAGGCCGATGGAAGAGGATAATATTGTAGAAAAACCAGGAGAAAGAATATTTGAAACTGTTATAGATAAAACAGATGGAAGAAAGCGCAGGAAAGTAATATTTGAGAAAAATAGTGCAGATGAGATAGAAACCATATCTAAGAAGCTGAAAAAAAATTCTGACTCAAGTGGTATCGAATTTGACGAGGAATATGACTTTGATGATGTTGATGAAGATGAACTGTTACGAAGAAACAATATTTCTTCAACGTTACTGCGTTCTGAAGAACGCTGTAACATTGAAGAAACTCCAGGAATGTTAGTATTGAATATTGTTATAGGAAATATAGTATTGAATAATATATTAAACAATAATTTTAAATATTAGTTTTAAAACTCTTAGTTTGTTTGTAATTTTTTCTTGAAATTTATTTTATAAAAACTGTGTGGTACAGTGCATCTTTCACTTATCACCCGATCTTCAGTAGAAATTATTTTTTTTGTAATTAATGTTCATCCATTAATTTTCACAGAAAATTTCATTTAATTTATACGGAAACATTTATGTCCCATTCAATAATATAAAATTTGACATTATTAACTTCTTCTTAATCTCTTGGCGCTACATACCGAAGTGGTCCTTGGCCTGCTTCAACCTTTGCTGCCAAAAGGCTCTGTCCTCCACCACATGGATGACCGCCTGTCTCATGTCCTCTTCCACCTTCTCCCTCCATCGAGCTCTTGGTCTGTCCTTTGCTCTAGTAGCGAAGATCTTCCCTTTGTGTACTTTCTTCACCAGTCTGTCTTCATTCATTCGGTTGACATAGCCAAACCATTTCAGCCTGCTTATTCGTATGAAATTTGACAAAGACAGGTCATTATAGATGCCGTATACTTCTTTCTTCCTACTTCGCCACACTCCGTTCTCAAGCACTCCACCAAACATTCCTCGCAGCACTCTCCTCTCGAATCTGTCACAGAATATCTTGTGGATTATCTAGCATTCCCTGCCATAACTAACCACCGGCCTGATAAGGGTTTTGTATATCCGAATCTTATTTTGGTTTGACACTTGGTTATTTCTTATTATGTAGAGCATAGTATGTCCTGTTTTTTGCCAAAATCATTCTTTTGACTTCTTCTGTTTAATTGGCTTCGTTAGTCCTTAATGATTCCATGTACTGAAATGTCGATACTACTTCAATGTTTTCCTCATCTAAATTATAGTACGATGGGTGTTGCTGCTTTATTCTCTCTACAATCATCAATTTGATTTTGCTGACATTTATTTCAAGGCCAGCTTTTCCTGCCTCCTTTTTCAAGTTAGCATATGCCTCTTCGATTGGTTGCCTGCTTCTTCCCAAAATCACTACATCATCTGCATAGGCCATTAATTGCAATGATTTATTGGTGATTGTATTATTAACATCAATCTTTACCTTCTTTATAACTTTATCGAGAACTAAGTTGAATAGCAAAGGGGCCAATGAATCTCCTTATCTCAATCCATTCTTTATTTCTAAGGACTTTTACAGTTCTCCATTTACTCTTACTTGACAGTTGGTGTGCCTTATTGGAATTGTTGGAAATTCGTCCATAGAATCACCCTCCAGAGTTTGGCCGTTAATAACTTAGGCAATGCAGTATATTTTATTGAAAGTAAAAAATTATTATTTTAGTTTTTTCTTTTGTAAATGATGGACTGCTATGAATTATTGATTAATTTTTTTTTTTTCAGATACAAAAGCATTTTATCCGATAAAGATAAGGAGCTGAAGGACAAAATTAGTGGAGCATTATCAATACTCGAAAGTAAAACAATGGATGATAGTGAAGGGTGGTCAGACTGTTCAAGCGACTCCGGTGATGAAGAAAATGAAGAAGAAACTGAAAAGTTAAGTGTCCCTTGGGAGAAGGTAGGCGACCAGTTCTCTCAATCCGAAGACATTTCGGGGGAAAGTGATGCAGATGATGAAGACGATGATGAATTAATGGATACAGATCTTAACTGGAAGTCGAATCTTGCTGAGAAAGCAGCCAAAGCATTTATTGAAAGGCAGTCGGATAAGTCAAACTTGTATAAATTAGTTTATGGTTAGTAGAAGATATTATTATTGTGCTATATTTATGCTTAAGATGAAGTGACATAAGGCCCAACTTACTTTCTTTTTTTTTTTAATTATAAGATTAGTTGTTATTTTTTGAAAGCAAATGAAGAAAAATGTGACATGGGAAATGTATTGACCCTTGATCGACGTTAAAATTATAACATTTTTTTAATTTTTAATCTATTTATTGAATAATAATCAATCAGCCACTGCTGGAGGGCTATAAGTATTAGGGCTAAAAGTTCTCATTCATACAATATATACAAATAATAGAGAAATAAATATAAATATAAAAAGTAAATAAAGAAAAAATAAAGAAAAAAATTAATAAATAAAATAAAATAGAAACTTCTAAACACAATCATAACTATATACAATATACACATTTGCCCAGGAATCACCGAGCCAGGCTTTTTCCCCCACATGTGGAAGGCAAAGGAAGACTCCAGGAGATCCCAGTGCCACTTTTCCAGCCGCATCGCTAGTATTAAAATTATAAAATAAATATAGAAATCGGTAATCGAATAGTCTTTTACTTTAAAGTAACATAAATTATAAAACCAAAACAAAATATGGACAAAACTGTACCAATCATCTTTTAGGTAAACTATTTACAAGTCAGCTACATCTTGGTTGAGCTTATAAGAGTATTCGTTTGGCTTAAGAATTGAGGTTAAGTAAGGTGGGTTAGTCACGCCACCTTTGGCCATCACCAAGTTTTTGTTTAGTGATTGATTAATTCACATAAATTATGAACAAATGCTGAGAATTATTGCTATTGTCATTTAGTCATTAATTGACAATATTAATATATAATTTAATGACAATATAAAAAAAAATAGAGCATCATTAGTTTTCTATTAATATTTTAAGAAAACTGTACTTTTTGTCTATCCGGTACTGACTGCTATCTGCCAATGTTTATAACCTCAACACTGATAACTCCCATAACGCATTGATAAGCCTTCTCCTACTTCATATCTTGGTATTATTGTATTAAATTCGTATTATTGAAAGTGTAAACAGATACAAAAACAAATGTAATTACAAAAAAATACTTTTATTTTACGACACATATTAATGAAATAATAAAAAAACATTTAAAGAACATATTTACATAGAAAAGAAATCAACACTATAAACAACATATGTACAATTTATTTTCACTTTGTCTTATTTATTTTGGAAGGCAAAATTGTTTTATGCTATTTAAAATAGCGAGGAACGGGTCATTAACGTGTGTTATCTGGCAGTTCCTCCATGTACTTTATTTCTCCACTTCGCTGAGCCCCATAATCGTTCTATGTGTTGAGTATGAACCCCAGTTGAGGGATCGAAAAAATTATAGCGGTAATTCACTTGGAAATGGTCATAGTTTGCTTCGTTCAGTTGTCGGGTGTTGTTTCCTTTCAAATATTGTTGTATCCTTTCCAAATATTGAATTGCCTGTTCTTCCGAAGACGGCAAATCCCATATTCTAAGAAGATCCATAATATGACGAAAATAAAAGGAAAAAAAAATGAAAAATAAATACAAAGGGGCCACAAACTAAAAAAGAATGAAAAATAAACACAAACGGGCCAAAAACTAAAAATAACGAAAAACAAACACAAACGGGCCAAAAGTAAAGAATTTAATAAGTGAACGTAATAAGGGAATAACTGAAAACTAAACAATGCAATAACTCAAAAGTTTGGCAGGATAAGAAGAGGGAAGTTATGTGACGTGACGTTAGATAAGATAGATCAGAAGTGAGGTTTCGTGCCGGCCCGCTAGACAAAAAGTACCAAGAAAACTACTGCAGAAAATTCTATTGATAAATCACATCACTCTGAATGGTTTAGAAAATTAAAAAATTGCAACTTTGGGCATTAGAAATAAAGAATGTATAAGATTGTATTAAAAAAAAAAAAAAATTGTGTGATCTGATTAAACTGTTAATATCTAATGCTTATTGACAACAAATGATCAGTTGTTTGACCCCAAGACTAACGAGCTTGTAGATCTGGCAAGCCTATTTCAGTTTATAGAGACTGCTGGAATAATGCTCTGATTAAGAGCAACACTAATTAATGTATACAATAAGCGTTATAGACCGCAGTGCATTTTGCCACAAAAAATTATAAAGGGCTGCTGGAAAAGTGTTTGGCTCCATTCATGTAAATAAATAGTTGGACGGAGCCAAGTCTGATAAGTAAGCCGCGCGGCGTGAGTTAATATTTCCCATTTGAATACCTTATTCGTTTCCTTCACTGGTTTTGCTGTGTGATGGTGCATTATTATAAAGCAAAATCACTTTATAGTGTATTTTTCAAAAATTCTTGTAATTTTTTTTATGGTAGACCAAACTTATGGTTTATTTAAATAATAAGACATATTTGTTACTTTATTTATACAAACTAGTAGGCCCGTGCGAAAAATTCGCACTGTATATTGTTATCAAATGCCATATTAATAAGAAAATAAAATAATGCATTCTATCAAAAGATAAAGAAATCAAATGTTACTTTATCGATAAATATAATCGAAGAAAACAAAAATTAATTTAAATCTTCATTTTTGTTTGGAACCAACTTGTTTACAAATTTCAGTAAGCTGTATCTTTGCTAAAAATTGTCCGATTTCGATGTTTTTTTTTTTTCATTTGGTAGGGAATTTAGTAATCTTTTATACAATAATGGGCATAACCAAGGGAAACGTGTATATTTTTTTAGTTATTCGCAAATAAAGTTTGTTTTCTTTCATATACTACAATTAACGTAAGGTTGTGTGGATGCGAACCCTATGCCATGCGTTATCTCGAAAATAGTGCGTTTTTGGGCTTAAAAACGCAGGATCTGATAGTTCCGGAGGAACTATCAGGGTCTTGCTGTACTCATCAAAATCTTCAAGATCCGATTTGTCCCGTATCGATCTACAGACTTACCACCGTTCCAGTATTGAAGCCTAGCAAAATGTTTGTATCGACTTTATTTATTTTAGAAAGAAAAACAAAAATGGAGAATACAATTCGCTAACCCCCCGTGAAATTCTGAATCCAACGGTACCCCATTCATGGTATTTCAGCAAGACAGGAGCTTATATTTGGTACAAAACCGATTTCGAGCCTTACTGTAATAATATATGTACGGATGAAGAAAAATGTGGCACCAAATAATTACTAAATAAATCTTGATAATGATGCCAGTTTTAGCCGAAACTTCATCTTTAAAATTATTAAATAAATATATAAATTGTTAATTAAATGGACTTTTACTTAAGAACGTCATTTTAGGATTGTACTTTTACATGATTTTGTCAATAGCGTGTTCACACACCTTTATTATTCCCAATAGTCTATTGGTACATAATAATTAAGCTACTGAAAATTTATTGTATGCACTTAACCATAATCTGAAGTTACATTAAAATTCTATAAAAGACCTTTTTCTTTTCTTTGTTAAATTTTTTACTTTCGCTTACCTATATATGTAATATATAGTAAGGAAAAGTATTATGATCAGGAAAATTTTCGAATACGAGTTTTTAACAGAAATACTTGAGGTTCTCTGGTTCCAAATACATTGGTATGTATGTGAATGAACAGCCTAGCAAGTCGTACAAAACTGATATTAGGTATTTAAGGTTTTTATATGCCTGGGATGTTAGAGCAACTTTTTCTTCAAAATCGGCTAACCGGAAGTGCCACTTTATATAATCGATTTTACACATTTTTACAATTATCTCATAAACTGATCTAATTATTTTGATTAAACTCATTAAATCAATGTATTACAAAGTTATTTTTAGTTTAAGGTAGGTCTTATTTTCATTTATGTTCTCTAACAGTGCTTAAATAACGAATTTACAAAATTTCATCATCTAAAATACCTTTAATTTTGTTTATTTAAAGTAATTAAACATTTTACATTGTAACTACTAAGATAAAACAGATAAATTCTAATTATGAACAAATTCATTAAATAAATAAAGGAGAAATAAGGGTTAGTACTCCTGGAATAGATGGACGAGATAGAAACTGTTAATACAGAAATAGCCGAGGGCGCCTGACTTTTCTCTATCATTATTTATTGTTAGTTTAATTGATAAAATTAGTTTCTTTTACACATAATTTATAAAAAGATTTTTGTGCTAAATGTTAAGGCTATATATCTACTAATATTAACTCTTTTTTTTTTTTTTAAGTTATGAATAAAGCTCAGAATTTTGACTAAAGATCCACTTTTACTTTTCTCTTTTTTAAGATATTAAGATTTTATCTGGATTCACTTTCACTTCTTATTAAATTTTAAAAAACATTCATTTATCTAGTAGCGAGCATGTATTTCTAACATTTGTCTATTTCATAATTGGTAATTGGTTGACTGTCGTGGATAATGAAGAGAAGAATAGTTGGGGTGGTCAGTCAAAAAGGAAGGCAAAAATAAATGATAATATTTATTTTTACTTTTTACTAACATTTATTTTTACTTTTTTATTTATTTATTTTTGTAAAAATAAATATTATCATTTATTTTTGCCTTCCTTTTTGACTGACCACCCCAACTATTCTTCTCTTCATTTGTCTATTTCCTTTAATCAATATTTTCTTTAATAATGTATTTTGAACACGGCCAAAATGTTTTGGATGGTAATAAATTATTTCAAATGAGTATATTATATCGTCTGTTTATTATTTGTTTACTTTCCTACATATGAAAATGCTTGTTTCTATTAAAGATACGATAGGATTCAAGATAGAAAAGTTGATACACCTCATCAAATTTTTTTATAATTTTTATAACCATTATATCATTATTTTAATCATAATTTAAATCATTTTAAAGGAGGCCTTGTTACACAAGAAAAGAGTGATGATGATGCAAGTGATGGTGAAGATGAAACTATAGGTGGGTTATTCAGGGCTGTGAAAAGAGAACAACAGACGGCTTCTTTAAAAAAAGACACCCTTGACATGCTGGACTGTTCTAAGTACGATAATTCTCAAATTCGAGATTGGAGCCTTGAAAGTGTGAGTTGGAATTAAAGTTTATGTTTTTTTTTTTTTTTTTTAAGGATATTAGAAAATTCGGCCTAGAGACATTTTCATTATTTAAATTTCATAAGCTAAGATGTTTCATCACTCACATTTATAGATTATGTGTTTGGTCGGGGCTCTCCAAACGATGGCCCGAAAGCTTCTTTGATTACGTTGTAAAATTTTAAAAACTTTAAAATAAAAAAATTAGTAAATCATTCAAATACGAGGTTACTACAACATTAATTGGATTAGTTATTTCTCCTAGAAAGCTCATATCACAGCTGAAGTGTCATTAATAGATCAAATTTTTTGTTTTTTACAAAAACTCATGGTCCGCGGGCCAAAAGTTTGGAAACCCCGATGTTAGGTGGCAGGCACCAATTTTTCTATTCATTGTGAATTACACATAGGTCACTGATAATAATATATATAAAGAAAAAGTAAATGGTATCAAACAATAAAAATAAATTGAATATTTAATAGTTGACCGTTGCATTATTAAGGTCCGGGGTTGCGGTCATAAATAGGCTAAATAGTGGTAAAACTATTTTATTGAAAGCCGACGTTTCGACCCGACTTTGCAGGTCTTCATCAGGGCAAGAACGGACAAGATACAAAAAAATTGAGAATTGTGGCAATTACATAATATTTAGACATAATTTATAAACAATGTGAATAAGTTTATTAAAATTATAAACAGTAAGTACAATAAAATATGGACAAAGTAAGCTGAGTAACAAGATCCTAAACTGAAGTAAATAGATGCTGACAATTGTTGTAGTGTAATATATAATTAATGAAAATGTGAATATACGTCTACAAAATCTACAGGAGATAAATAAAATTAGAGACTTACAGGTGTGTTCATCTAGGAGTTTCACTTAGAACTGGAAAGGCAGCGGTAAGGATAGCAGGTAACGTAACACGTCGCCACTATTCTTTATTTTTTTGTATCTTGTCCGTTCTAGCCCTGATGAAGACCTGCAAAGTTGGGTCGAAACGTCGGCTTTCAATAAAATAGTTTTACCACTATTTAGCCTATTTATGACTGCAACCTCGGACCATCTCCTTCCTTTTTAATAAAAATAAATTTAAACACTGGATATCTTTTATAACAATCTTGGTCTCTATGTCAATCCACCTGTGACTGTCAATAACAACCGTGGTTTTTGTAAACAAGGATACTGCATACAATTTAAGAAAATAGACTTGAAACAAACATTTTTTTTGAAAAGGAAAACATACCAATATTATTTAACAATTAGATACCCATAACATTTCATAAAATTGCACTTAACACACTATTCACTGGTGCTACAGATGTTTACCTACGTACGTATGTGTTTTTTTATAAAGTAATGAACTTCTTAATAGTAATGTTGTTTCTAAATAAACTTCCATTTTTGGTCTTAATATGCTGAGTCGATTGGGATTCAAATTGTAAAAAAGTTTCATTTCATCTCGTTGAATATGATAATACTTTCGGCTAAACTGTTTAAAATGATTCATTAGTTAACCAAAGAGAAATGCTGATAGCTTCACAGCTAAGTTTTTCAAAAAACAATATTATGTCGGAAACAGAATCTTTGTATTTATATTCACGAAGTACTAGTTTGAGGTTTATTAAAAGGATCACGAATTGATTTTGAAAATTTGTAGACTTTTTGAGCAAAAGCAGCCCTGATAACAGAATTTTGCGGCTTCCCTATGTCCTAAACCTTTCGAGAACTTGGTTGATTTTGTCACGATTAAATAATTTTTGTTGGATTTAAAAGATTTACTATGTTCTCGAATGGATCTGCGATTTGTCCTAATTGTTAAAAGACTTTAAAGAATTTCGTTTAATTCTTGCGCCAGACCACTATTAGACTCTCCCCTCCAGTTGATAGCACAAGTGGTAAACCTTTTCTTCTTCACAAGCTGACTAGGGCTACACCAGCAGTACTAATCAAATATATGTGAATTTAATGATAAGAGTTGTGACTAACAGTATCTTTCGACACACCACACTCCCTGACAAGTTTGTGAGTTCTTGTGGACGGATTTGACTCAATAGTTTCCTGCAGAACCTCAATATCTATTAATGGTCAACCGCAGCTCTTCTTCTTTTCCAATGTCATATCTCCACTGCTAAATTTTTCAAACCAACGCTGCCCAGTGCACTGGTCAAGGATACCTTTCCCTTCATATTTAATAATTTCGAGAGTTTCTTCAGTGGCTGTGAAATTTATAACACTTATTTATAAATTTCTATTCTATTTGTCGGGGTCTGATCTCGGCGCGCGTTCGATCCGTCCATTTATATATTCTTCACTCACCCTGTGATGCAGCTACTTCTCTTCTGTACTGGTGCATTCACTTCCACAACCTTCTACTGTTGACAATCACTACTTGGGGACCAACGTCTTTTCACCGATCCTGGTTCCTAGCCGGCTGGCTACCTTCTCTTTAACCTATGTCCTCTTCACTCGCTGGTCGGTCACCTTCTGCTTATATATGGGACTTGCTTTCCCCGCCATCTGTAGTTCCTGTCAGTAGTTCGTGATGTCACCACCTTCACGCCAATATTCAAAAACACTATGTAATATTGACATTACAATATGTGTATATATATATATATATATATATATATATATATATATATATATATATATATACACACTAAAGTGCAATAATCTACAGTGATACTGACAAAGAGTATCGTATCACCGTGACCTATGGTATTCTATGTGTAATACCCTTAAAGGTTAACAATGTTTTCGAAATTCATAAACACTTAGTCTAACTTCCTTTGTAAATAAAGGGTTACTTTTTATGATGGCCGAATAACAGATTTGTTATTAACATTTTTTATTATTTAAATAAAAAAAAGAACTGATGTAGAGATGGTTGACCGTTGATATAATATGAGAAGGAGTTGATGGGGGGGGGGGGGGGCTGCGGTCAAATAAATACTAAGTTAAACAAATAGTAATTATTTAATTTTTACCGACGTTTTGACCCACTCTGCAGGTCTTCATCAGGGCTACAAAAGATACAAAACATAGTGAAAATAAAATAAATGAATATAAGTAGATATAAAATAAGAAGAAGTTGTCTGATACAGAAATAAAATTTATTTATCAGATAACTTCTTATTTTATATCCACTTTTTTTTTAAATAAAAATTTCAATTTTTTTTTTTTCACTATATTTTGTATCTTTTGTAGCCCTGATGAAAACCTGCAAAGTGGGTCGAAACGTTGGCAGAATTTAAATAATCACTATTTGTTTAATTTAACATTTATTTGACCGCACCCCCCGATTGACTCCTTCTCAAAAAAAAAGAACTCTTTGTTCATTTATAGCTGCGGTCTCCAAACTAGAACTCAGGGGCCGAATCCAGCCCTCGAGCACTTCCAATCCGCCCCACAAAAGCTTCTTTGATTTCATGATAAAGTTTTAAAAAATACTAAATTTAGCTATTGTAATTACTCTTACGAAAGGTTGCCACAACATTTGTTCCACCGTTTTTTTTTTAGAAAGCTCATTTCACAAATATAGTGTCATTTATAGAAAAAATAATATTTTTCCATCGCAGCAGTAGCCCGACTAAGGTGGAGGTCTCAAATTGGTCTGTGGGCCAAAAAGTTTGGAGACCTCTGATATATTTATAGTAATACTAGCTGATGTGCCCATCGTTGATGGGTGTATAGTTAAAATTTGAGAATCTTTTTTTGAGATGGATATTGTAACATGGGTTAATCCGTTTAGTTAATCCTAAAAATGTATATGACAACATTTGTTAGGCTCGAGAAGTTGAATCGAATGACACCTTGAACGGCAAGATCGAACAAAGTTGAAAAATGAGTGTGTTTTAAGCGACAACGCGTTACAGATGTTTAGCATTTCGTATTTTTCCTGTTGAGTTGTGATAATATTTCCACCAGTTGAGTAGTACAACTTTTAAATGTGGCTCGCGGTAGAGTAGGTTAGGATGAGAATTGAAGTAACTACCTAACCGGGATCTCTAAACAAATCACCCAAGAATTCAAAACTGGTTCTATTCAATATTTTGTTTTCATTTAAAGCCTATGTTTTAAGTCAAGTAAACCTTAATATAATGTCAACATTTCAAAAGTCTAAAATAAGCCATTGCTGAGCTTACTCCTGACAAAATTTTGTTGCAATGCGGACATACAGACAGACAAAGAAAATGTTTTAAAAGTAGATTTGGTGTCTGTAATGTATGAAACGGAAAGATATCTTAAAACGGGTTGATTCAATTCAATGTACTCACAAAACCTTTATTTTATTTATATAGGTGTTCTTTAACCTATAAGCATATGTTTATTATTAACATTTATTATCAACATTAACCGAGATCTCTAGACAAATTACTTAAGAATTCATAACTTTGGTTATACGGAATATTTTGTTTTCATTTAAAGCCTATGTTTTAAGTCAAGTAAACCTTATTTTAATGTCAAAATTTCAAAGGTCTACAATAAGCCATTGCTTAGCTTACCTCTGACAAAATTTCGTTTCAATGCGGACATATGGACGGACAAAAAAATTTTTAAAAGTGGATTTGGTGTTTGCAATGTATGAAATGGAAAGATGTCATAAAACGGGTTGATTGCATTCAATGTAGACAAAATCTTTATTTTATTTATATAGTTTATTTTTAGATATTTTTAACTGTAAATTTAGTTTAATTTTTGCTCATGGATTGTAAAAAATAACATGTTATCTGTGATTGTTTGTGTTTTGAAGTTCAACATCTAGTATCATAATGGCCTCAATTTCTTTCTTCGACTCCAGACTTAGCACAAGCTAGAGATCATATTTTACAGTTTTTTTTTAAATGAGTTATTGTTGAAAGGCTAGAAGTATCCGTTACTAAACTATGGTTATGTTTAGTTCATCATTTCATGTAATACATATCATATGTAATTTGCAGTCCTTCATTGGTACAAGGTTTATAAAAATTCTCTTTATGGCAGCAAAATTTTTGTGGAAAACTCCCTCATATTTTTATGTTTCTCATTAAATTAATTTTGTTCTGACTAATAGAAAACATCTATTTCATTAGCAACAAAATATTAATTTAAATAGAACTTTTCATATATTTCATAATTGAAAATATACCAAATAAGCAAATATGCATCTTCCAGATAATACATGCTTTATAATTTTATTATGTTAAATTATTCATAATTCATAATTTATACTTTATAATGGTTTCAGAATATCGAAAGCATAAGGGATTGCTTTGTCACGGGGAAATGGGAGCATGGAGAGGATGCGGAGGAACTTTTAAAATTGGACGACCTTTCTGAATCAGAAGAAGAAATTTACGGTGATTATGAAGATTATGAAACAGGAGAAAAATTTGTTGCTCAGCCTAAAGCCAACAAAAGTATGGATATAGACATTTTATTACTAAATTTATGATTTTTTATTTCTCTGTTATTTGATTTTTTTTTTTTTTTTTATTGAATAATAATACAATCAGCCACTGTTGGAGGGCTATAATTATTAAGGCTAGAAGTTCTCATTCATACAGTATATACAAATAATACAGAAGTAACTATAAATATAAGAAGTAAATAAATAATACTTATAAAAAAAAGTAAATCAATAGGAAAAAAAATAAATAAAAAAAATAAAAAAATAAATAAACAAACAAAATAAAATAACAACTTCTAAACACATTCATACCTATATACAATATATACATTCGCCCAGGAATCTCCGAGCCAGGCTTTTCTCCCCACATGTGGGAAGCAAAGCAGGACTCCAGAGATCCCAGTGCCACTTTTCCAGCCGCATCACCAGTATTAAAAGCCAGTGGAGGCTGAAGGAGGGCACTAGAGCCACAGATGCTCAGGACTTTAGTGGAGAAGCTGGCCATTGCCAGGACTCCAGAAGCATATTTACAATAGATCTCGCGGCCACTGCCGTTTTAACCTTCGAGGGGGATTGTAGGGATGGTGGGAGCTGGATAGGGATTGAGCTAGAGGATTTGGATGATGGATAAGGTTCTGGTGAAAGTTTGAGAATCTGGATGGGATGATGTCGAGGACAAATGGGATGTTAAGGTCATGGTGTAGGGTCTTATTTGTGACATAATATGGGGCATTCGCTATTGTTCTAAGTACTTTGGACTGGAAGGATTGGATGCGTTTGATATTCGAATGTTTAGCAGTTCCCCACAGTTCAAGTCCGTAGGTCCAGATAGGTTTCAGTATTGTCTTGTAGATTAAAAGTTTATTTTCAATCGAAAGATGAGATGTCCTGCTTAGTAGTCTATATAGCTGGCCATATCGTTGGTTAAGTTCTTGTCTTTTAAGTCTCGTATGTGGGTTCCAAGTTAGTCTTTTGTCTAAAAGGAAGCCAAGGTAACGGACTGTATCTGAGTAGGGGAGTGGTATTGGATTGAAAAGGATTGTGGGACAGGATCTGCGTCGCAGGGTGAAAGTAATATGTTTGCATTTTGCTTCATTGATTTTGATGCGCCAGTTGTTGCACCACTGCTCAATCAAAGAGAGGTGGGATTGTAGGTTTTGAGATGCTATTTGAGGATCTGAGTGGGAGGATAGAATGGCAATATCATCAGCAAATGTAGCTAGGAAGGTATCGGGATTTGAAGGGATATCGGCAGTGAAAAGGATGTAGAGAACTGGACCCAAAACACTGCCTTGTGGAACACCAGCCTTGAAGAGGTAAACTTCGTCGTTATAAATGACCACAGTTGCTATATTTATTCACCTTTGACTGTCAATAGTGGCACTGGTCGTTATATATTGGTCAGGGAACACTATCATTAAATAGGAAAAGTCAGGGAATTTCACTTTAACTATCTGGTAGCCACCCTATATAGCCCAATTAATGTATATTAATATATATTTGTTATATTTAATTTTATAAAACAAATTTTATTTTTGTTTTAAGAAAAACCTGATGAGCCCAATAAAGAGGAACTCCTCGATAAAAAGAGGAAATTAAAAGAAAAATTTGATGCTGAATATGACAAAAAAGGAGATGATGATGAAGATACTTACTTCGATGATCTGAAGAGTGAAGCCAATAAACAAGCAGAAGTAAGTAGTAATCATTACTTTATTTCTTGTAAATTTACATTTATAATTTTTTTTCTTTTAAGTTTCTAACTTTAATTAATATATTTTCAGTTAAACAGGACAATGTTTGAAGGAATCGATGATTCAGTTAGGGTGGAGATTGAAGGTTTTCGAGCTGGGATGTATGTTCGTATGGAAATTAAAAATATGCCGTGTGAGTTTGTCGACAACTTCGACCCCACTTACCCTTTAATCATGGGCAGTATCCAACCTGGAGAGCAGAACATAGGCTTCATAAAGGTAGGATAAGAAATTTATTGTAATTATATAGGAATTAAGAAGTTTTTTTTTTTGTTCACTATGTTTTTCAATATCATTTTAAGATTCTTTTCTAATTTTATAAATGATTACTTAAAAGAAAAACAATTGGTGTCCTAATTTCATACTTGTAAAAGTAAGTATTGATCATGTGTGAAATTTATATTTTGTTTTAATTAATGAAACTCTTTTAAGTTATAATATTCCTAAAAATAATATTCTTTTGCACTGTATCCACCCTGGTCGGCTAATCGGCAATTGCCAAGGGCCTCCAAGCCAGGGGATCATCAAGGGGACCTAAATCCATTGGTTTAGATATTTCTGGGTACCCTAACATAAATGTTCTGTACTTTTTTATGGCCGTAGAATGATATGAGGGGAGGGGGTTATTTTGTATTTATCTAGTACCGTTGTACGTTTGACCAGATAAATAATTGTTTTATATTCCTTTATTTCCACATATTTTTGGGGCCCATCATAAATGTTTTGAACTATTGCCTTACAATGATTAAGGGTTCCCTCTGAGGGTCATTGTCTTCATTTTGCATTTTTTTCGAACTGTGGTATGTCTGCCCCCAACAATAGTTGTTTTGTACATCTGAAATTTTCTGGGGTTCCTCCGATGGGCCCCCAACATAAATGTTTTGTACTTTTATATCGGCATAGAATGATTGGGAGGGAGGCCCCTCTATGCCCCCCAAATATTGTTATTTTTCATTTTTCAACCTTCTCCCGATATCTTTGCTGGGAGGCAGTACTGTTGTTGCTATCAGCGACCTGCCTGGCTTAGGTTTCGATGTTCAATTTAAAATAAAACTGAAGAGGATCCCATTATTTATTTAAGAAAACAAGTATCGAAACGTTTTCAATAAAAATAATAAACAGCTATTGTAGATTATAATAACTATCTTAAATTATATATATTTTCTTGATAAGGGAGCCTGACTGTATCAAAGGTCATTGGAGGGTTCGGGGAGGTAGAGCTGCATTTTATTTTATGTTTGTTAACGCTTAGCCTAGAACATGTGGATTTCTGAAATATTTGATGTATTTACATTCATTGGTCATAGTGTTTTTTTTTTTTTTTTTTTTTTTTTTTGTTCTTCCCTACCTCGCCTTTTAGGCTATACGGGATTTTTCCCGGGCCGGGGGGTGAGGGCGGGGAATTTAAAATCCCCTCCGGCACCGGGACGCGAACTCGTACTTTTTATATCATCTCAAATAGTCATAGTGTTGTAGCATTGTGCGAAAAAATGTTTTTGGTCATCAATACACTCAAACTCTCCCCAACCCTTTTCTCCATCTATATTAGTGACCTTCCTAACGCCATTCAACACTCAAATTACCACCTATATGCCGATGATTGCCAAATATACCAATCATTCCAACCTTCTGAGATGCCTGAGGCTGCCCGGAGACTACAAGAGGACATCGACTGCATCAACAGATGGGCAGAAATAAATTAATTAAAGCTGAATGCAGATAAAACCAAGGCTATTCTCATCGGGTCCAGACATCTCATCAGCTCCCTTCATTACTTTCCTCTACTTAACCTCAATAACCGTCCCATCCATTTTTTCCCTACAGTCAAAAACCTAGGAGTAACCTTTGACCAGAACCTCTCCTGGAATAATCATATCTCCAAGATTACCCGAAAATACATAACTGCCCTTAAACAACTCCTAAGATTCCGTATTCCTCTAAAAATCAGACAGCTCCTTGTAACCTCCCTTATATTCCCCCACTTCGACTACAGCTGCTTGGTGTATGGAGGGCTATCTGCCATGCTGGAAATGAGACTAAAGAGACTCATGAATTGTTTCATAAGATACATTTCCGGGATCCCCAGGCGTTCACATGTTTCACTCTGGTACACCGAGTTGAAGTGGCTTTATCCTACTTCCCGACGACAATTCCTCCTTGGTGTTTTCCTTTTCCAAGTCTTCAGAACCAAAAACCCTCCCTACATCCTGGAACTCCTTATTCTATCCACTCTCTCAATACTAGGTCTCAACCTTTAGACTTATATATTCCCTCCCATAAAACTTCCTCCTTCAGCAAATCCTCTTCCACAAATTCCTTCAAACAACTCCTGTTCCAACACCTACTCCACATTCAAACTTCCCCTAACATGTAAAATTACTTGCATCTATACAATGTTTAATTTCAATCCATTGCACAATTGAAAGAACAATTAACAATAAATTAGTTGGTATTTTATTATGTCCGACTAAGATACATAAATTTGTAACTCTGTTCTTATTCTTAGGTGACAGTAGTCCCAGAATAAAATTATTTTTTCATTTTCATTTTCATTTCATTTCAAACAAGCAGCAAACATGTTCCTCTTTTTGAGCATCTGAAAGAATTTCTGGAACCCTTCTTGCACTCACCTTGCTCTTATGCAAATGTTCTTTGAAGATTCTCAGAACACTTGCTTTTGAAAGTCCCAACCTTCTTCTATTTCTTTGGTTTTCAATCGCCAATCAGACAGCAATTTAGCTTTCACAAGTTTAATCGTTTCATAAGTGACAGCTTCCAAAGGGCGACCGAGAGGTGGGTCATCTTCAAAGTATTCTCCCTCTAAGTGAAATAATTTTTCACATTCTTTTACCGTGGAATGCTTTGGGGAGGACTTCCCATACACACCTACAATTTTTCCTGGAATAAGGCTATCTTTCCGAAGGAATTTAATAATCTCACGGTATTCGATCTTGAACATTGTAAAATGAAAAGATTCCTTCAAGGCTTGGCACTGACTGACAGAATTGAGGAAGTACGGGTGAGAGGTGTGGAGTGAACAAGCATCTACACGCAGGTCTCTGTTAAATCTCTTAAGTAGGGCAGGCTGCAAAATTATGAACTGTACTACATACTATTTATTATTAATATGTTTTTGGGATTATATATGTAACAATATCGTCATTTTAGGTTCGTATCAAGAAGCACAGGTGGTACAGTAGAATATTGAAAAACGGAGATCCATTGGTCATCTCGATGGGCTGGAGGCGTTTTCAAACTATCGGGGTCTTTTCAAAACAGGAAGATAACATGAGGCACAGGTATTATTAATGTGATATTTACTAATATAACATCACAGTAAGCTATAATATTTTAACCACAATTCTGGTATGAAATGTGAATTTAATTAAATCATATTTTTTTAATTTAAAAAGTCTACACTTCAGACACACTGTCTGTTAAGTAGAGGGAAATATTTAAAGAAGTTTTAGCATATCTCAAGAACTAAAAAGAAAGTTTATATTTAACCATAGTCAGATTTTCTGCAGAAAAGTAGGAAATTTTAATTTTAAGTTAGTCTTTTAAAAGTCTACTTTTCTAAAACAAAAAGAAATTATGGAAAATATTAAATTTTTCTTGAACTTTTACTTATTGATCAAATACATTTTTAAAAAATCTGGTGCGGTGTGCGCATCACATAACTTTCTCTTACCACCCTCTTCTTAGCAGAAATAAGTATTTTCAGACAAAGGGAAGTGAAAGTAAAATAAAAATTATAGACTATATTTATTTATATTTCATTTTGAGTATTTTTGTGAAAGTAATAATTAATAATAATTGTTATTAATAATAGAATTTTTTGACTAGTCAATAGATTTAACCAAGTCAGATTATGATTACGAATTAAGAATACTTTAAGAGATAATTTTTTAATATTTTTTTCCATAAAACATTGTTATATTTTACCATTTCGGAGGGGGGGGAGGGAGGGGCTTCAGCCCCAAAGCCTCCCATCTTCCCCTGTAGATTCGCCCGTGTGACAAACAATCCTTACAGTTTAGAAATAATGGTGAAAATACATTCATAGTGGACCAACATTTTTTTGAAACTTAGTTCTTTGTAATTTGTAAGTTTATTAGTTTTAGTAGAATTAAATAAAAATAATAATGTAATCAAATATTTTCTTTATAGGATGCTCAAATATACACCTCAATATGTTGCTTGTATGTGTCATTTCTGGGGCCCATTAACGAAAGCTGGTACTGGCTTTTTAACTTTACTTAATTCAGCTAATCCAGAGCAGGTAATTTTTTTTTATTTTCACGTAGCATTTCCAAGTTTAATGTAGATTTTTCCAAATTAGTTTAAGAATTTTTATAATATCAAATGGATGGAATGTTTTAGTTTTCTTATTAAATTCCTTAGACGTAGTATCTAGTATGAATAATAAGGTTAGGCATAAAATTTTCTACTAGTAAAAATCGAAATGGGTTATAGACAATATCTTTACAATTATTATTTTATTTGAAACATTCATTATAAATATGAATGAGAAATGCTATATTAAATATACATAAATTATAAATTTCCAAATATACAGAATATTTATACGGCATGATTATTTGGCTGCTGGAAATTAGATATGTTTAACAGATACAATACGAATAAAGACTTTATAATAATTACCTATACATGAATAACTGATAAATAATAAAACAACTAATACAATATAAAATAATAAATATTTTGAATAATTTATATCTAAGAAATAATAATAAAAGAAAATAAGGGAAATCATAAACAATAAAACTGACCACAAAGAAATTAGACGGATCATTGTCTATGCTAGATGTAGCAAATTAAAACGGTGGATCCACGCTTGTCGAGCAAAACCGACAATTGTCGTTTTTATTGAACATTCGTTCAATGAGGGGGCATTTAGAAGAGAAATTAGGATATCATTTCAAACCGGGCTAGTTTCAAGAAATTCAATACGAACTATTGAACATTCAGCCAAAAAATGGAACAGGTCTTCCTTTACTGGTGGATTACAGTGTGGACAATCCTTATATTCCCTGTTGGGCCACGGGATGTGATTCAATCAGAGGTGTTCACACCTGAGCTTAAACAACCAACTCAACTCGCGCCCTGTCAAATCCCAACAGCAGCCATCCACGAATTTCAAAATTTTAAGATCGTGACTCAATTCCCTATACAATAAAAATCGATCAGAATTCAAGCCCGCTAATTTACACTGCTCCCTATGTTGCTGAGTGATTGCAGACCAACTCGTTTTGTTGCCAACAAGTTTTTCCATAAAGAAAAGCATTCCAAAGACCTGTCGAAACCTGCAAGAGTATCTTTCTGCCAAATCGCACCAATTTTTAAACCAAAAGGTATTACATTTAATCACTTCAGTGGCGATAACTCTGGAGAGACGACTTTCAGGCAGGCACAGTAACTTAAGACAATGCTTAAATAATAAATGTAATAATAATAAATGCAGCTACAAAGTGAATACCTCAAGTGGATTTGTGGCTGTTTCTAATTAAATCATATTATTTAGTGTCGTTGGAGGCAACAAAAACAATTTCTTGATGAAAAATCTCTGAAACTTTTCCAATATGTCATTCATCATAAATATAAAAGTACATTTTTTAAAAATATGAAATACAATTTGTTAGTGTAGTGGGTTCTCACCCACGGCGGCTGTCAGAGTTAATACAAGAAAACCCCTGTAGAACACTAAAGCAGATAAGAGAAACATTTCATCAAGAAACATTGATTTAAGTATGTCAATAATTGCTAATGGTCTACAAAAATTTTAAATAACTTAATATTGAAATCCAGAGAATTGGATCAATGAAATCCCCTTAGACAATATGCCTGCACTTGTCATGAGCGGGCCCTGAAGAGAAAATATCATTTTTATTGATGAGTCAGGTTTTAATCTTCATCTTTGGAGGAACCAGGCAAAATGATCAAGAGTTAATACACATGCAATAATAAAGGAAGAAATGTAACACTTGTATTGGTCGTCAGTTACGTAAAGATGGTAAGCTTCAAGGTAATCTCAAATGAAAATCGTAACGCTGTTTGATTCAATGATTTCTTGTCAGAACTTGACGAGAAGAATCAACAAAGTGTTTTGGTGATGGACAGTGTTAGGATTCATCGAGCTGCGGAAGTAACAGGAAAGGTGCAGGAACTTGACCTCACTCTGAGGTATCTTCCTGCCTGCTCTACTCCTTTAAATCCGGTTGAGAGCCTTCTCTAAAGCAAAAATTAGGACAAGGAATAGTGGGGCGGGGTGGCCAAGCGAGCTAACACGTGTGCACAGCACCATACGTTGATCAGCAACCTGATAACCAAAGTTATATGGAATAAAATAAGTAGAAGTTTGCGTCCTGGTGTCAGTGGTACCAACACAGACAGTGAGGTTTTTAACTGTGGCATTAATTAATTCCCTGGCCAGGGAAAACCCGGGGGAAAAAAAATACAAGGAATAATCAGATTGATCCAAGAGAGTACAATTTTATCGAATTAATTCCATAAGCCGTATCTACAATAACAAGTGCAGATTGCGCAAACTTGTTGTGGAAATTCTCATGCGGGTGAAAACCCGCTGTACTAACAAATTGTATTTTATAATTTTTAAAAATATACTTTCATATTTATAATTGATTATAATAAAATAATAATTGCAAAGATATTGTCTATAACCCATTTTGATTTTCACTTGAAGAAAATTATAACTTCAATTTGAAAATTTCTAAAATTACTCTTTAAACGCTATAATGCTTAACCTTATTATTCATAATAAGTACTACATCTAACGAATTTTATAAGAAAACTAAAATATCCTATCCATTTGATGTTATAAAGATTCTTAAATTGATTTGGAATAATCTTAATTTGAAATAGAAAATTCTAAATTTGTTTTGCAAAAATCCCAATTTGGTTTGGAAAATTCTGTATTAGACTTGGAAATGCTAAATGTATATATCTTTTTATTTATGGAACATTTATTTTTTATTATAATTTATGAATGGCTGGAAGGATAGGGCTATTTCCTATTAGAAGAAAACAATAATTTAATCATTTCATAATTATGTAGAAAAGAATTGTTTTTCAGCCATTTTCTTTAAAAACTCAATTTTACAATTTAAATTTGGTAACTATGTTCTAATTTAGAAGCTTAATCATATTTTTTTAGATATTATTCTTTGAGATGATGTTTGTAAATGTAGTATGCAATTACAGCACATTTTATTCAGTTTGAAATATTCATGAAAATTTTAGCTGGAAGTTGATTTCATATCAGTTATTTAATTTTTCCTCTCCCATATTTTTTACTTTTCAAACTGGTAATCAATCTATATTTGAGAAAATATTTTGAACAGCAAGTTAAAAAAAAAAAGAATAATAATTTTTTTTTTTTAATTTTTATTATTGAGATTTACAACTGTATTAAATGATAAATACAACAATAAAAGATGAAAAAAGTAACATGACATGTACAACATGAAGAGAAAAACTACCCATTGGTAGCATTCCAATTATATTTCTATATTAGGAGGTCCTGAGACCATCCTCTTTTCTGACACCTCGGAGGGTTATCAGGAATAGAAGAGGAAGCAAGGTTGGAAACAAGAGGGTTCGGATGGCAGAAGTTTATTATGGAAGGATAGGTATCTGGATTGAGCTAATTCGGAAACATATAGTACATTAAGGTCGTTATGGATGATTTTATTTGTGACAAAGTAGGGAGCGTTGAGGATTTTGTATTGTAAGAATTTGATGGTTCAGTAGAGCCCCAAAGCTCGATCCCTTAAGTCCAAATTATATTATAGTAATATATATGAGTCTTTTGTAAGTAGTTGGAAGTTTAGAGCGTTTGTCTAGTAAGTGCTGCAGTAGTTGAAAAGGTCGGGCGGTTTCTAGTCATTTCAGTCTGGTATGAGGGTAATAATTAAATCAAATTCAAGGAAATTAGTCGACTACTAAATATCACAGACCATATGGATGATCCACAGGTTTGGGTTGAAACAATAAAAAAAATCTCATAAATAACTGCTTCCGGAATTACTTATCTCCTATAATAAATTAAAAATAAAATGCAGAATAAGTTTGCTATTACATATTTGAAGAGTTTGCTATCGAAGTAGCCATCTCCATTTTCACTTTTGTTTGCTATTGTAGAAATGAATGTCTTCAGTGTTCAACATTACCACGGTTTAAAAAAAAAAAAATGTTTGAAAAATAATAGTAATAGCTAATTTTTCCAAATTAGAAGATGTTCAGTTTGCTTGAAAAGGCGATCTTTTCGTTCATTATTCTATGTGGAAAGATATTTGTTAAAGAAGTGAAACTAGCATTAAGTATAACTTTGGGAAACTACCAAATCTAAAATGGAGGTCTCCGCTATTGATAACAAACTCATCATTTATTTAGTCTTTAGTTATGTAGCAACTAAATAGTTTATAAAAATAATGCAATGTTTATTGTGAAAGGTGGAACCAGGATTCAGGATTACAGCGACAGGTGCCGTCGTGGATACAAACCAATCCACTGTCGTTTTCAAGAAGCTTAAACTCATCGGTGAACCGATAAAAATATTTAAAAAGACTGCATTTATAGGAGGCATGTTTACTTCAGCTTTGGAAGTCGCTAAATTCGAAGGAGCAAAGATAAAAACTGTTTCTGGTGTTAGAGGTCAAATTAAAAAGCCAATTCAGCAACCACAAGGAGCGTTCAGAGCAACTTTTGAAGACAAAATCCTTATGTCAGGTGAGGCATATGCATTCATTTAGTTTTGTTAAGAAATTATTTTTTCTGTTTTTGAGTAGGAGGTTATTTATCATATTGTCAGCTTATTGCAAAAAATGACTAAGTGTATTTTTGATAAAGGTCAACTTTCAAAAATGCTTTTATAAATTTCTACCTAATCAATTGAAAAAAAAAAAAAACAGTGTAAGGGCGTAAAAATAAAACAAACCCCTTTATATATCAAATATAATTCAAAGTTCTTAATTAGCTTCTTCTTCTTCTTCTTTAGCTTTCCTCTTTAGTGCCTTTCAAAGTAGAGGAGCATTCAGCCAGGAATTCCATTCTTCCCTATTTCTAGCTAGGTTCCTCGCCTGTCGAAGGTCCTTCTCCCTCGCCCTACAGAGTTGCTCAATGTAATCAAGATAGGACATTATGGGGCGTCCCCTAGGTCTTCTGTCATCTGGGACATATTCCATGGTCTTTAGAGGATCTCTGTGGTCGTCCGTCCCCATAAAATGGCCGAACCACTGTAGCTGACGAGTTTCTAGGAGCTCTTTCAGTGGGGCTATCTGCAGTTCCTGACGAATACTCTCATTGCCAACTCGGTCTCTCCTTGTTTTCCCAACTGTCCTTCACAGAAATTTCATTTCGGCAGCGGTGATTCTACTCTCCTGTCGGTTTGTTAGTATCCAGCTCTCTGCTCCATACACAAGTATAGCTAGATACACCGTCTTGAAGATGTGTAGCTTGACGTCTTTGCCTACTTCTCTCTTCCCTACTACAGTGTTGCATATCTGATAGTAAACTGTATTTGCTTTATTAATCCTGTTGGATATTTCCACGTCTACCTTCCCAAATCTGTCCAACACTGTACCCAGGTATGTGAAGTCTGTCACCACTTCTAATTCTTCTCCATTGCAGTATATGTGGATATCTTCCTTCTTTCTTCCGACTTGTAGAATCTTACTTTTGTTGGTATTTATAAGCATCCCTTTTCGTTGGAGTTCTTCATACCATTCCATAACTGCCGATTGCAACTTTTCCACTGAGTCCGTAATCAATACCACATTGTTGGCGTAGAGAAGCTGTATCACTACAGGATTAAGATTCCTACGTCCCAGGAATGTCCTGTCCGTTCTTCTCTTACAGATGGATGCCACTTCATCCATGAATAACAAGAACAACAATGAGCTTAGGCTATCTCCTTGTTTCACCCCCTTTGCAATATTGAAACAACCCAATTCTAGTCCGTTCAGCCTGATTATTCCTTTGGGATCTTGTTATATAGATTTTATTGCCTCTGTCAGATTTCTCGGAACATTCTTCGATCTGAGAGCTTCCCATATTTCATCTCGTGGAACCGAGTCAAAGGCAGATTTGAGGTCAAGGAAAGCCAGGTACATATTTTTATCAAGGTCCCAGGATTTCTGTAGGATATTTCTTAGTGAGAAAATGTGGTCATGGGTTTGGCGCCCAGGTCTGAACCCAGCTTGCTATTCTCCTATTAGGTGCTCAACTAGTGGTCTTAAGCGACCCACCAATATGGATGTATATAGTTTGTATGCAACTGGCGAGAGGCATATGGGTCTGTAGTTAGAGCATTCTGCCTGACATCCTTTCTTGTGAATCGGTATTATAATATTATATTCCCAATCCGTTGGAATCCTTTTTTCGTCCCAGGCTTTCTGGAAAAGGACTTGCAATGCTCGCACCAGCTCAGGGCCGCCATTCTTTATTAATTCAGCTGCTACACCATCCCGACTTGGCGCTTTTCCAGTTTTCATTTTGTATATGGCTCTCTCTACTTCTTCTTCCTCAATCACCTTGTCGTACTCTTCCTCACTCCAGTTTCCGTTTGTTGAATAGTGATCATCACTACCAAACTGCTTCATATAATGATGTCTCTAGACCTCTAAGATTGCTCTGTCTTCCGTGACCACTTTTCCTTCTTCACTCTTCATATTTCTCACTGCTTTGCTCTTACGTCCTCTTAGAGCTTTAATTTTTTTTTCAGAAAATCCTGATGCTTTCCCGATGACCCTGATCTAACTTTCTTCCAAATTCTTCCCACGATTTTTGTTTTGCCACTCTTACTGCTTCTTTTGTCTTGTTTCGGGCCAACACGTATGCTTGCCATTTCTCTGGAGTTTTGTCCCGACAGTATCTCTTCCACGCTGTTTTCTTTTGCAAGACTTGCACTTTCAGTTCTTCGTTCCACTATGATGTACGTTTACCTTTCTTGCAAATCTTTTTCACTCCACACACTATAGTAGCTGCTTTCAGAACGCTATCCTTTATTTGAGTCCATAGATTGTCCAGGCTTGCATTTGCGTCTAATTCATGGAGCCAATTTCTTAACTCTGCTTCATACTCGTCTCTCTTTTGAGGGTCCTACAACTTCTCTACTTCAATTCTTGAATATGCTTTCATCTTCTGCTTTCTTTCCTTAAGCACTCGTGTATCAGCAACCAGGAGCATATGGTCACTTCCTATTTCTGCACCTCTGATTATTTTTACATCTGAAAAATATCTTTTAATGTCGCGGCTATAGATGAAATAGTCTATGACACTGTTGACATTTCTCTCAGCGGCTAAAAAGGTAATTTTATGTGAACAGCCTAGCTCAAAAACCAAAAATGGTATGAAACTGAAATTTCGTATTCAAGTTTTCATAAGCCTTGGATGTTACAGCATCATTTTTGTCAAAATCAGCAAACTGGAAGTGGTACTTTATATAATCGATTTAACACACTTTTATAATTTTCTCAAAAATGGCTCAACAATTTTGATTCAACTCAGTATATTAGTGCATTATTAAGCAGTTTTTAATATAATATAGGTTTTATTCTCATTGATGTTCTCTAATAGGGCTTAAATATCTAATTTTCAGTATTAGCTTCCTCTAAAGTACCTTTGATTTTTTTTTTATTTGAAATAATTAACCATTTTGCATTAATCTTTAATATAAAAAATAGTTAAATATAAAATATGAAAGAATTTGATAATTAACTTAAGGAGAAATAAAATGTCGTAACAGATAATAGTTGTAATGGAAGAACAAAAGGAATACGAGAGCGGCTGCTCTCGCCCGAAAGATCATAACAGGCTTTCATACGTAATATGAGCTTAATATAATACGGACTCCGACAATATTATGTACATATACATATGCGGTTTTCCTAAATGCTATCGTTGGTATTATTTAATATTTAATTTTATAGAATACAGTGATATAAAAATTAAAATTTGTGTATCAACTTACTCTCTGGCTGTATGGATATAACTTTTCCAACTAGAAATATTACCACTATAATGGCATTACTCAAAAATATTGAAATTAGAGTTAGGTTAACTACATTCTGTCAACCGAAAGACTCAGAGGCTGAAGTTGTGTGGTTACAAAAGCAGATGGAGGAGTAACTAGATTTTTAATGCCTACTGTCAATTTAATAAATAAATTTTTTCCTATTTTGAAAGAGCATCCCTGATGAAGACCGAAAACTTTAGCTGAAATGTCGGCACTTAGAAAAATGATAATTTTTTGTACTTGAATAACTGCGACCCCCCCAACTTCTCTTGCCATTACATTTTTTTTTTTTACTTCATAAACAATCATCATCTAGGTTGTATCAACAATTTATATAATTTTTGCTATTTCTAGATATTGTATTTTGCCGAACATGGTATAAGATCGATGTTCCCCAATTTTACACAACTGTCACCACTCTCCTCTTGCCGATAAACGAGAAGAATAAATGGCTAGGTATGAAAACTCTAGGACAGCTGAAGAGAGAGAAGGGTGTTAGGAACGCAGCTCAAGAGGACAGCATGTATACTGTTAGTATAACCTTCCATATGAATTGTTCACCCTCTGATTACTTTTAATTCTTTTTGTAATTTATTTTTTGTGGTTTTATATTTTAGGAAATCAAAAGGGAAAAGAAACGCCCTCGACCTCTTGTTATACCGAGAGCTGTCGAAAGAGATCTTCCCTATAAGTTAAAGACGAAAAACAAACTGCCACGCACCAAAAATCCAGGCCCGTTTATGAAACAAGTCAAGAAAGTTGTTATTCGAGACGAGTATGAATCAAAGGTAATGATCATTTTAATAATATTTCATTGCATAGATCTGTTATTGCATTATCTAGGAAGATGTCAAACCCTTATATGAGCCACTGAATATTTTGCTAATACAGTCATCATGACTAAGGATGTTATCGAATTAAAAAATGTATTATGGTAGCTCCAAACGTAGGCTGCTCCATCAACTGAAGGTGGTCCAGAGTATCTTTTCTAATGGCTGTAGATATGTTTACTGAAGCGCCCCTCCCTCCCCCGAACTGACTGACAACTTGCCATCCATCCTGGTCAACGGCCTGAGCAAGACTGGGCGAAGCTAGGGAGTGGAGGTTGCGTCCTCCCTCCAATACTTCCAACTCTTAACATATTTTTTAAATTTTAATAACTGATAAATAAAAATCATTTCAATATATATATACACATATATATATATATATATATATATATATATATATATATATTTTTCTGTTGGCATTAAAGACCATGTTGATCTTTTGCCTCCTTAACAAGCCTGCTCCATCTCTGGCTGTCTTCGGATATTTGTTTCCTTTTATCTGCATGCAGCTATGTTGCATCTTTGTTGATTCTTTCAATCTTGATTCAGGCATTCATTGTTATGTAGAGGCTTCCAGATGGATTGCTACGAGTTATATGCTCTGCCCATCTTAACCTCCATGCCTCCATATCATGGGATATCGATTAACCAATTTCTGTAAGCAGTTCTTTATTGGTCATTCTTCTCAATGTGTTAGTACTCTGATACCAGATCACTCCGGTTATCGTGCGGAGGATTTTCCTCTTAAATCTTTCAATACTTTATTCTAGGGTACTGGTTAAGTGTCCAGATCTCACAGCCATATATTAGAACTGGCTTTATCGCAGCATTGTACACCCTTAGTTTGAGATTTTCAGGATTTCAATACCATTGAAAGGGAGAAGAAAGCTCTGTTTGCGCTAGTTATACGTTGGTCATTCATTGAGGTTATTGAGATCCTGTTATTGGGGTGGACTTTTCGGCTTATTGTCGTATATTTTGTTTTGTCTTTGTTTACCTGTAGACCGGATCTGCTCTGCTTCTCTTATCAGTGTTGTAGCGAGTTTCTTAATGCCTTCTTGATTACTTCCAAGGATTGCTATATCATCTGCGTATCCAAGGATTTTATTTTTCATTTTGACGTAGATCTCTCCATTTTCCTAGCTATTTATTTATATATATAAATCCCTTTTCGATAAATTTGCCAATATCAAATTTTTCATTTCCCCATTTTCATGAACCATCATTATTGTATAATATTTTGGCTTAATTTATTGTACCTTTTCGATTAATTTTTCTTCATATTTGTTTTGTAACTAAATACTATTTTTTATCAATAGGTGGCCTCCCTTATGAAGAAACTCAAGGTGAATTACGAAGATAAACTATCAAAGAATAGGCACGAGCTCCACCACAGAATGATTCAGTTCAGGAAACAAAAGAGAGTGGAAAAAAACAAAAAAATGAAAAAGCACAAAGAACTAAAGAAAAGTGTTTATAGAACGCTTGGTAAAATGGAAGCCAACAAGGAAAAAATGAAGACTAAGAAATCTAAGAAAAAAAATGACTAGTTTGTAAATATTTAAGTGCTTGTATATACCAGGAAAAGGCTAATGTATATAAAAATACAGTTAATTACTTTTGTATATTTTAGTTTTGAGAGCCTGTTATTAATTAGTTACTTTTTACTTTCATTTACCTATATATGTAATTGTAAAATTTTCAAATCTGAGTTTTTATCGGATATACACGTTTTGAGGTTCCTTGAGTCCAAATAACCAAGTCCCACAAAATGGTCTGTGTGTATGTATATGAACAGGCTAGCTCAAAACCAAAGACATACAAAACTGAAATTTCGTGTTTAAAGTTTTTATATACCTGAGATGTTACAGAATCTTTTTCGGCAAACCGGAAGTGGCACATTATATCATTGGTTTTACACATTGTTATGATTTCCTCAACCCCTAACAATTTTGATTAAACTCAGTATATCAGTGTAGTATTTAATATCAGCTAGGTCTTATCCACATTGATGTTGCCTTACGGGCTTAAATGTCCTATGTTCAAAATGTCTTCTTTTAAAGTACCTTTAATTTGGTTTATTTTAAATAATTAACTATCTCTCATTGTTAGTTAGGAGTTATGAAAAAAGGCTTAGCCGAATTAATGGTAATAAAAACAATTATGAAATATTTAATGAAATAAAATGATGTTTGACTATGGAAATTAAATAAAGAAATGATATATAACTGGCCCAAAATTACAATCAATAATAGAAACAAATATATTAATAGTCCTAAAATAAAAGTTATACAAAACAATTAAAATAATAAAAGTTGAACAACTTTACGTGGTTGCAAGCAAGTGATGGTCAAAGAAAATGGATGAACCTCTGCCTTCTACAGTGACAAAACGTAGATTTTTTATGAACGCTCATATAATTAAAACTGCAAGTGGATTGAGGGAAGCACCCCGAGAAAAGTAGGTTTCTATACAGTAGGACTGCAATGGGCAGTATAAAAATTGGCAGCGCTGAACTCAGTAACGGATGGAGTCAGACTGTGTATTGGACAAGTCCATGGGCTTAGTAATTGAACCTAGGTCTTGCTTCTAGCTAGGGATACAATCCATAGCAATATATAAACTATGCACTAGTCTATATTGAATATAAACAACATAAGCTATAGTCTTAAGAACAATATAATTAATAACTGATTTCATTTTTATCTATATTTTAACTTTAATAAATAAAGCCCAGTCCGCTGACATTCCTACCTATCCCAACACTGTCATCACCACATATGCCGATGACACATGTATCCTATCAGTAAATAATGACCCAGCAATTGCATCCCAAATGCTTCAATTACACATCATAAATCTAGAAGAATGGTGTCAAAACTGGAGAATTAAAATAAACTCCAATAAATCTCATCAAATCACCTTTACCCTTCGTCGTAAACCAACAACTTCCTGTCCTACAGTTTCCTTTAACAATACTCCACTTATTACTGTTGAGCAAATCCGATACCTAGGACTCTGCCTGGAAAAACGAATAACTTGGAATCCTCATACTAGACTGAAATGACAAGAAACCGCTCGACGTTTCCGATTACTTCAGCACTTACTAGACAAACGCTCTAATCTTCCAATTAATTACAAAAGACTCATATCCTTGACTATAATAAGGCCTATTTGTACTTACGGAGTTGAGCTATGGGGCTCCACTAAACCATCGAATGCCTCTCGTATCCAATCCTTACAATCCAAAATCCTCAATGCTCCCTACTTTGTTACAAATAAAACCATCCATAATGACCTTAATGTTCCTTTTGCTTCAGATCTAGCCCAATCCAGATACCTATCCTTCCATAATAAACTTCAGAATCATCCCAACCCTCTCGTTTCTAACCTTGCTTCCTCTTCAATTCCTGATAACCCTCCGAGGCGTCTGAAAAGAAGATGGCCCCGTGATCTCCTAATGTAAACATATCATTAGAGTGCTACCATTGGGTAGTTACTCAGCAAGCGTTCTTCATGTCATTATATACATTATGTTCTAATTTACTAGATGTATTTATTTAATACAGTTGTAAATGTCTTTAAGAAATAAAAGAAAAATAAATAAATAAAGCGAATCATCAATTTAAAAAAATATTTTTTAAATAAGAAAATAAAAGAAATTAACGCTGTGGTGTTAACATAATGCAATACTTCATTTTCAAAACCTTTAAGATGTTGCTCATTCCTTAATTTAAGCGGCCACATTTCGCATCCATAGAGAACCGTAGGCAGGTTAATAGTAATGTAAATTCTAGTTTTTAAGTTTTGGAGCAAATTTGCTGCCTTCAGCCTAACCTTAATATCCTCTTCAATTTTGGCTTTTCTAGTTACCATAAGACATCTAAAGTTCTCTACGTGTCCAAACATATTACCTTCTGTATCAATATCATCAAAATTGTCACTGTTTATGCAGCTAACTATATATTTTGTCCAGTCTTTATTTATTTTGAGCTCTAGTTCTTTACTGGCTTTCATTAACAGTGTCATATTTAGTTTTTAGTAAATAATCAGTATGCCCAATTGTTCCACCTAGATTCAAACCTTTTTCGATACGCATTACCTTCCTAATTGCATGTTCTAATACTAAATTAAACAGGACAGGTGAAAGATTATCATCCTGTTTTAAATCCTTTCAAAAACACATTTTAAAAAATTGCAATACAATAATGGACTGTACCAAACATATATTTTAATAATTTCTTGCCCGTCAATAACATTATGTAGACAATGATTCATAAAGCGTTAAACTGTATTAATCAAAGCAGAATTAATTATACGAGGAAAATATAAACCACAAAAAAATTATCAGTAAAATTTATTCACATTAAATATTTTTTTAACAATGGACTAACATTAATTACATGATAGAAAATCTATAAAATACTTTTTAAGGATCACCTATAAAAAGAAAGAAAATTAAAAAAAAAGAAAAAAAAAAGAAGAAAAGCTGCTCTCTTGGAGAGAACTACAAACTATTAACAACACCAGAATATGAGTTTTAAAAATGTTAAGGCATAAAAAAATAGTTTTATATGAAAGACTAAGTAACTAATTTTTATCCAGGTATAAAAAAACACTTGTATAATTTATCACAAACCGGTCTGCGACACATCTTTAGAGTGAGCCGCATTTTTTTTTTTTTTTTTTTTAGGTTTAAAATTATTTTTAATCATTATCAGTCTAACAAGCAGCGCTGAGCTCGTTTCGATAACTAAACCAATCTCTTTTAAAAAGAATTGTTTTCTCTACTAACACTCTTTTCATCAATTTTTGTTATACTTTGAATAACAAATTTTTTTCTTTTTTTTTTTTAGATACGATTCATTCATAACCGAATGAGTTTTCTATTTAACTTGACCAATTTCAAGCATCAGTCTGATGTCTACGTTATATTTGCTGAATTTTTGAGATCATTACTTTATTTATTTTTTTTTAAACAAAATTCACACATTTCACGAGTTTTCGTTGTTTTTACAAAAACCCTGTTTAAAATCAAAATAAAAAAACAAAGAAATTCATAACTTAAACAATATTCAAATTTTAAACTTGTCATTATTATATAATGTAAATGGGACAAACTTTCATAAACAATGAATTATTTCACAAATAGTTGACTGAAGCATATTTTTTTTTGGAAATATAATATACTCAGAATATTATTTCAAAATAGCACCAAACTAATAACTTAAATTAATTATTAAACTTTTGAAGAAATCCATAGGCTTCAACCGAAACAATTTAACAAATATATCAGGCAGTGGCACTGCTATTATTTAATAATTAATTCATATATATATATATATATCTATATATATTTTTTTTATTTTTTTCAAGAAAACATTCCGAAGAAAAAATATTTTTTTTTAAATAAAAACAATCCTTATACATAAAGTTAATAATTTTTTTTTTCTTTCAAAATTATAATTCATGAAAAACATACTTTTAAAAACAGATCAAAAATCACATGTAACCGTTTGGTTAAGTACAGAAATATAAGCGAGTGAATTTTTTTTTTTTAATCTACAAATAAAAAAAAGTCAAGTACTGCCGATACAAAAAAAAAAAAAAAGCGCAATATTCAATGACATTTGGTATGTATTATACAACCAGCAGAGCAAGAAAAAATTACTAGGAAATAAAGTGCATTCATGTTAATGAACCTAGAATCATAAAATATTAAAGTTTTTTTTTTTTTGTTTACCAAATGTCCTGTAATATTAACCCTCAACATTATAAATGTAAATAATTAGTGAAACTTAGTAATCAGTCTTACATATTTTAAATATTATCTGCGTATGAGCTGTTGTGTTTATTAGACAAAAGGGGAGAATGGGAGCCCGAATCTGACTCAGACTCTGCAGCGTAGACCTGAAGCAGCTTGCAGTCAGATTGATCCGCCTCCGCAGTACACTTCTCCTCCTCGTTACCGAAGTCGAAGCGGATCTGGACAGGGTCCTTCGCTGCCTCTGTGACCGTAGGTTGTTTTTTTTTCACCACATCGATGACTATAGGCTCCCTTTCCTTGTCATCAATCTTGATATTTACCGAAGTGTCTTGATGCCTGTCCTGCCGGTCTCCAGAACAGTTCCTATTGTCTTCGCTATTGCCGTTGCCAGCCTCGCCAAACTTTATCACAATCTCTGCTTTCTTAATCTGCAGTTTTAGTACGGAGTCGTTGTTGGGTTTCAAGCTGCTGCCTCCACCAACATCGGCGCTCTTAGAGCTGGAAGGGATACAACAATCTTCGGATTCACCAGTATCGCCCTGGGTTTTGCTTTCGATTTCGTTACACCTGGAACACACAGACAAAATAAATATTATTAGTATACCCCAGTGAGAACTCACATTAGATAGTTATCTAAAATAAATAAATATTATAATGATGTAGAGATGGTTGACCGTTGATATAATATGAGGAGTTAGTTGGGGGTGCGGTCAGATGAATACTAAATTAAAATATAGTAATTATATTTATTTTAATTACTATATTTTAATTTAGTATTCATCTGACCGCACCCCCGACTAACTCCTTCTCAAATAAATATTATCTATATATATAAAAATGGATGTATGTCTGTCTGTCGGTCTGTTTGTCCTTGGTGCATTACTGCTTTCATTGCTCATCTGATCACCATGAAACTTTGGGAAGTTGTTCCGTACACTCCTGGGAAGGTTTCTGGTGTATTATTTCTGTCTTACGATAATTTTATATATGTTAAAAAAAATAAAATTGTAAATGTTTTCTGTTCAAAGCAGCAAAAAAATGTGTCGCTATAAGCTGTAGCGCCAAAACGGCTTTACCGATTTTAACGAAACTTGGCTAAAGTCTTCCCCTTGAAAATCTTTTCATTTATGTGTATAACATACTTTCCCGAAAGCAAGCTGAAAAATGTTACGATGAATTCAATATTTTATTTGACGATAACTAAAAAAGTACAGAATTTTTGACTGATAATACCCACATTTATTTGAAAGAGTCTTGATTCGCCGAAAAAAAACCAAAAAAAAAACAAAAAAACATCGAAATCGGACGGTTCGTTGCAGAGTTATAGAGTTTTAAACATTTACTGCTTTCTCTTCAGAAAAGGCCATTTCCTTTTGCTTCCTTGCTACTGAAGGAAGGCAAGCTTTTTTTTTTTTTTTTATTGATTAATCGAAAATTTTATAATTACTTCAGTAATTTAAATTATCATTTGAAGAAATTATATGATTCTCCTTATGAAGGTCAATACTATTATACGTTGTTTATATTAATTTTTTAATTTAGTTTTATAAGTTCAACTCAGACTGTTTCTGATGATTATGAATGTTCAATTTGAATCATGAGAAAAAAATCATTAGAATTAGTTTAAATTGAAGCCATTTTACAGACAAATTTGTTTCCCAACTTACTAAAAATGACAGATGTCCTTTGCTACTAATCTACTCATATGTGCTTTCTATTTTCTTTCTTTTTCATTTTGACAGGCCAAGCCACAGTAGCGCGTGGCCGGGTAAAGCTAGTACTTAATAAATGATTAGCTTGTCACATTGGAAAATATCTCTCCAGTTTAACAGTTAAGCAATTATAAGCAAATATCCCACAACTTATAGTAAGTTATTGAAGTACTCTCTTAAAATCTATTTGTTTGGTAATCCATAATTATATAGAAGTATATTACTGAGAGTATAGCCATGCTTGAATATATATTTTTTTATATTTATTAAATACACTGACAGGCAAAAAATTCCACCCACTTGTTACCCATTAAGGACCCACTTTGGAAAGGTTGGCTGTGGGAAAAATTACAGGCTGCATATCTTTCATTTCTTCTTCTCCACACCCTTTCACACCCGTCTGGAGATCGAAGAGCAAATTTTGATTCATCTGTAAAAAGTACAGCATTCTATTCGTCCATAGTCCAATGGCTGTGTTCTCAAGCAAAAGCCAGCTGTGTTACTCTGTGAGTTCTGGTCAACTCTGGTCCTCTTACTGGACGAAAAGCCATTAATCCATACTCATTTAATCTTCTCCGAACGGTACGTTCAGAAATTTGCACACCTCGAACTACTTCGAGCTGATGAATTGCTTGAACAACGGTAAGGTATCGTTTTCGAAAAATCAGTCATCCCGTGGTTCTGTTACCCTAGGCCGTCCAGAACCGGGCCTTCTATTGTAAGAACCAGTTTCCCGAAAACCCCTGACGGCGTCTCGTAAACTTTCATATGGAACTCCGATGGTATTAGCTGCATATCTAATGGAACGTCCATCATCAATAAGTGTCACACCACGCGCAACATCCTCAGCACTAAGAGGCATTTTTAAACTTAATATTGCAAAAATTAAAAGTCGGAGACTAAGAAATGTACTGCAAGAAACGGCACTGAACTAATGATACTGAATAAACATTTTGATTCCATAGAAAGTAAACATTGGAATTTAGAATCATTTCATTGAATTAAGGATTAAGGGTTATTTTCCTCTATATTAACATTTCTAATTGAAAACAAACAAAAAGATTACCTATTTATTCATTAAAAACAATAGACCAATCCAAAGCAGAAATATTTTTAGATGAAAAGTGGGTGGAATTTTTTGCCTATCAGTGTATACTGCATCCCAAACTCTTCAATCACACATCACAAGTCTTGAAAAATGGTGTCAAAACTGGAGGATTAAAATAAATTCCAACAAATCCCATCAAATTACCTTCACTCTTCGTCGTAAACCTATGACTTCCTGTCCTACAGTATCCTTCAACAATAGCCCTCTTATCCCTGTCGAACAAATCCGATCCTTAGGACTCCACCTTGACAAACGACTCACTTGGAACCCCTATACCAGACTGAAATGACTAGAAACCGCCCGATGTTTTCCACTACTGCAGCTTTTCGACTTGGCAAACGCTCTAAGCTTTCAATCAATTACAAACAACTCATATATATGACAATAATAAGACCTATTTAGACTTACGGAATTGAGCTTTGGGGCTCCACTAAACCATCAAATTCCTCTCGTATCCAATCCTTACTTTGTCACAAATAAAATCATCCATAAAGACCTTAATGTTCCATATGTTTCCGATTTGGCCCAATCCAGATACCTATCCCTCCATAACAAACTGCAGAACCATCCGAATCCTCTCGTTTCAAACCTTGATTCCTCCTCGATCCCCGGTAACACTCCGAGGCGTCTGAAAAGAAGATGGCCTCGGGACCTTCTAATATAGAACTTTAATTTGGGTTCTACCAATGGGTAGTTTCTCTTCATGTTGTACATGTCATGTTACCAATGTCACATTTACTTGTTGTATTTTCCATGTAATACAGTTGGAAATTTCATTAAAATAATAAAAAAATATATTTATTTTTATTTTTGCCGAAGTTTTCGCCTAAGAAAAAGACAGATAACAATAGGTATGGGAAATTATAAACATCGAATAATAAAGAATTAAAATTAAAAAGATGAAAGGTATAGACCAAAAAAATGTTGATAGAATAAATTCAAAGTAAAATAAAGTAGATAGAGTGAACATTAAAATAAAAAAAAAATTAGGTAGAATAATGACAGTAACAGAGAACTAACAAATAAATAATAATAATGGCAACAAAGTACGAACTAACGAAATAAATATAATAGAAATAAGGTAACATAAGAAATGAAAAATGAATTAACAGTGAAAAGTAGTGGAATGTATAAGATAATAAACGTAAGTGTAGACAAAAAAATTAAAATAAATGGGGTGACATAGTTACTAAAATATGATGTAATAGTATGCAAAAAGGAAGTGAGATAAACATAGAATAAAATGTAAAACAGAGAAAAGTTTTAAGTTTATTCTACCTACATTTTTTAGTCTACACCTTTCATCTTTTTAATTTGAATTTTTTATTATTTAATGTTTATAGTTTCTCATACCTATTGTTATCTGGTTTTTCTTAGCCCTGAACTTTGGGCCGAAACTTCCACATAAAAATAAATATAATTATTTATTTTCACTATTTTTTTAAAAAACTATCATACATTTTGACACTCTTTCTTTAAAACTAAAGTATTTATAAATAAATGGTAAAAATAAATAAAATTCAAGTGTATATTACCTGATCATATTTCTTATAGTAAAACATTCTTACATTCATACAACTCATTCAAGAAAATTATACAGACGAGAAGACATGTATAAACTGTTTATCTTGAGCAATGTGGTGTGGCTAAAAAAATAAACAAAAAAAAAAACTGTTGTTTGTGATTAGAATTTTTTATTTCTTTTAATTTCAAAATTTTAACATGAGCATTTCGATAAACAGCCATCTACGATTATGAAAATACACAATTCTAGAAAATTTTAAAAGGTTCCTTCAATGTAATAAATTAGTTTTTTTATTTGTTACAATAAATTAGGCTATTTTTCACCAACATTTTATTATTAAGCATCAATTTAACGTTTCGACCATACTAAGGATCATTTTCAAAACTGGAAAATTATAATATCATTATTAGTTAATATTTAGCAATTATAAAATTAACTTCTTATTACATTTAATTGAATTGTCTAATGTTCTATGTCAAATTATTTCCGATGTTACTTAAATTTATATAAAAATATACATAAAGTATAAACTTTTTATTAAAAAAAAAAAAAAAAAAAAAAAAAAAAAAAAAAAAAAAAGCCTTACATGTACGTAACTATAAACATTAAAACTCTAACAATTAAAAACAAATGACTATTACCTTAATGAGTCCTCCTAATATGTTCATCCTTAATGTTCTAATTAATATGTTCAGTGAACATTAACTTGTCAATTTTTTTAGTATTATAATTTTCCAGTTTTGAAAATGACCCTTAGTATGGTCGAAACGTTAAATTGATGTGTAATAATAAAATGTTGGTGAAAAATGGCCTAATTTATTGTAACAAATAAAAAAACTTCAAGACACCAAAAGTAGGAAAAATGAACAGAAGTAATAAATTAGTGTTTGGGATCATATACGAGGTACCTTTTTGATTTTCACTTACCTATATATGAGATATAGAGTAAAGGAAAGTATTGCAAACGTGAAAATTTTTGAATCTCAGTTTTCAACGGAAATACACGTTTTGAGATCCCCTAAGTCCAAATAATCAAGTCCCGCATAATGGTCTGTGTGTGTGTGTGCGTGTTAACAGTCTAGCTCAAAAACGAAAAGTCGTACAAAAGTGAAATTTCATATTTAAGGTTTTTATATGATTGGAATGTTACATTAACTTTTTCGTCAAAATTGGCTGACCGGAAGTGGTCCTTCATATCATGGTCTAAACACATTTTTATGTA